TATCATTTTTCTTCTTATTAGTTTCTTTTAAAAACTTCTATATTGTTAGAACTATTACTTAATTCTTCTTCTATTACCATATCATTCCAATTCCGCTGAGGTTCCTTATTATTATTTCTTAATTTATTTTCATTGATATTTTTTGTTTCCTTTGCCTGATCATCTTTTATTCCCAGTACCATTTTTTTAATTACTCCTTCATTAATGTTACTTTTCTTCGGACTCATTTTTGATCTATTTACCTTATCCATTTTTTTGTATTCTTTTCTTGTATCTAATGTTAGTACTACTCTTGACACTTTTATTACCACATCTTATATCAGTATTTTTAACACTATTTACAGTATTCAAATTAACTTTTTATACCATCATTATTTTCACTCATTAACACTATCACTATAATCACTTCCATCGTCACTTTCATATTCCATACAATCACTATTATTAATTAAACGCACTGCATTACTAATTTTTATACCTGTCTCGACCTCTGTACTCACTGTATTATTTCTATAAACCGATAACGGAACGTCATCAGGCCCGAGTTGCCTGTGACTCACCACACTTTGTTGTTGATCTATTATTTATATCAGGTATTTTACGCAACTAGTTGTGTACTCGTCGACCGCTCGACGTTGAATACCGCAAAAAGTTTACATTCGAGATATGACTTTGTTGGCGAAAAGAATTATTATAATAAAATGAACAAAAATGTTTGAAACTATTTTCAAAGTCTTAATAAATCCTCAGATATGTAAACAAAACACTAGAGAACACATTTGTGTCAAGTATTATCAAAGTCGTCGGAGTTGTGGAGTTGTTAAGTGGATATAACTCCTCTCTGAAGCGGAGTCAAATCCTAACCGATCCGGCTTCGGAAATGATAAGCCCATCTCTAATTTGAAGTATTTACTATTAGAACTTCATTCTAATGACTTATATTTTCATTAAAAAAATTGACAATTGTATGCTCAAATGATAAGCACTTGGATTGATATGAACTTTAAAAACTTGAAAACATATTTTTGTTTCACTAAAAAAAATACTGATATTCTAGTACAGCCATGTTTCTGTAACAATAGATAAAATGAAAAGAAATGAACGATATAATCAATATAAACTTTTGCCAATATCGCCACTTGATTTGCTTAATCAGAGGACTCATACGTATTTTGATGTGTATAGTTGATTAGAGTAAAATTGTAATATGCACATTTAGAAAAAGAATACTTTAATACTTTAATATTAATATGTTAAAAGTAATTAATAATGTGGCATATAAATAAGTTGCATTTAATTTACATGCACTGAATGGAATTTCTGTTAACCTTGGTTGACCAGTAAACATTTCCCAACCGTCATATACACATATATAGACACATATATACATATATATATATATATTATATATATATATTATATATAAAATAATAATTTTAAATAAATCAGCTATATACCGATGTGATTGAAGACGAAGTTGCTAATTTTAAATTTTAGTTTGGAAGTTTATTTTTATAGCTAGCAATATTTTATATAACTTAAGTACTAGCGCTTTTCATGCTATTTGTCATAATCTACTGACATTAAAAATTAAATTAATAAAATATAGTGAAAATACAAGTTATGATCAATTGAATTTATAAAAGTAAACGCGTGCCAGCAAATAATTGACGGGGTTTGTCTTTTAATAATAACTGTAATAATTGTTAGTTACGATGAGATAAAAAAAATCGAAAATGAAAATTTTTATATATCTTTACGTTTCAGAGGCTTCTGAACATTTTGGCATACCTTAGAAAAAATGGATGGATGTATGTGTGTGTGCGGATACAAGTTTTCGTCGACAATTTGATTGTCAAAAAGTGCCAACAGTGGCAATTGTATGATTCAAAAGACATTTTATTTGTATTGACGAAATAAAGAACTGAATTGAACAGAACTGAATTTTTAGAAAGACGGTTTCGGAGGTCTAATAAAAATGTAAGGAAATGCCATTTGGGGGTCAAAAATGATCATTAAACATATGCATATTGCATGTGCTCATGCACTTCAATTTATCAGATATTTTATAGAGATTTTAAGTACAAATTTTGTTTACATTTCTATGGATTCCGAATCAACGTTTATCCGTCAGACTAGGACGCGGCGCTTGCGCGCTTCGATATTTCTGAGTTGCTTTGAAAAAAAGTTCAGAATTTTCAAAATATAATAAAAAATCAGATTAGTTTTTTTTAGGTCTACTTAATACAACACTCTTTTAATGTCATCATAAAAATATATTTCAAAATCAAAACTAATTTGGACTAATAATAGGTAAATAAACAACATATAATTTTAAATTTCCAATTATTACAAGAAATTATTTTATTATCCATTTGCAATTCAATGAATCCAATATTATAATCATATGCACTAAAGAAATAGATTTACTTTCATCTACTTCGAAAGGTAAAATGTATAATGTATAACGATATATTCTTTTACTATTTGCTCCAAGACAATGTACGACGAAAAGTAAAGTTCATGCAGCATTTGTTACAGATAATATAAATCAATCGTTGGAGCCAAGTTGTAATAATCGTTATTATTGTTCGGTTATCGCAGCACTGCATGAGTGAACGAACTCATGAGATTCAATTATTATTTAGCTTCTTGTAACACACGTAGGATCATATCTAGTAGATCTACATATTCTTCATTTGTCGTGTTTTTATCCTGGAGAGAACTTATCGAGAAGATAGGGGGTCATATGAACGAAGATAATTTTATGTACTGAATGATACTAAATCTGATGCAGTTAAATGATTTTTATGTTGAATAAATGAATAATAGAGCATTAATAAAAAAAGTGCAAATTTAATAATTTTATTCGAAGATATTGAAACATAATTTTGCAAAAAAAAAATATATATATAATGATTTATACGCTTATATTTTGCAAAACAAATACTAAAGTCGGGCAAAATCAACACAATTTAACTTCTCGTAGAGTCTTTCATTAAAATCGAAAATGATTTTTTTTGCATATGTTTACATGGTATTTGTATATGTTTGGATACAATTTTTAGTTTACGATTCTGAGAGCACATATCAGCCAATTGGATGATTCAAAAATTTTATTAATTCCTATTAATGGAAGATATGCTTATTAGTTCAAAGGCAGGTCCAGCAGTTTCGGACATGTAGGAAAAAAGTTTCAAAAATTACCTAGCACATAGATTTATCAGGCATTTCATACAGATTTTAATAATGAGTAAAAATGTTGTTTCCGTTTTTTTGAACCAAGAAATATAACGTTTAGAATTACAACAGCGTTCTTTGCCTGATTTATAAGCTTTTATATTTTGTCTATAAAATACGAATTAAGAAACTTACAGTATTTATAATAATCTATTTAGAAATATTTAAAACAATTGTTAATAAGCTTTAATACATTTTTTTTAACCTCACGTAGGGTAAGTTATAGTAATCGCAAAAAAATCGATAATGAAAATGTTTATATATCTTTACGTTTCAAAGGTTTTTGAACATGTTGGCATACCTTAAAAAAAATTGATGTATGTTTATGTGCGGATACAAATTTTCGTCGACGATTTCCGGATTTGAATAATTAAAAAAACATTCGATTCGTATTGATAAAGAGACGTGCTAATTAGTTTTTGGCGGTAACTCAGTTTTTAAGAGAACTGAGCGTTCGATTTTAATAATTCAAAAAAGATTAAATTTTTGAGAAGGCAGGTCTAGGACTCTCAGCAAAAATAAGTTAAAAAAATGTCATTTGGCGGTAAAAAATGTTCATTGGACATATGTACATCAAATTATCAGCTATTTTTATAGAGATTTTAATAATGAGTACTCATTTTGTGTAAATTTTTTGGGGTTTTGTACCATGATCTTTAATTACGGTACGGGAAGTTCCAGCAAGTTGCTTTAAGGCACGATGCCATGCACCCCACTATAGTTTTTATTGATTGTAGATTTTTTCTCGAATGTTGCATTATCAGAAAATTTCAGTAATTTGCCTTAGGACAGAATGCAAGGCACCACTAGTTTATATATTTATTTGAAAGTCGTTTTCATGAATGTTTTCTTAACAACGTGGCTTTTAGAAGACCAACTGTTAATATATCCCTATGTGATGAATGTTATTACAATTTCTTTCATAGGGATGATTTTTAATTTAATGCAGTAAACCCCAGAAAGAGCTATTTGCTTTGATATTTGAAATGAATTCTATTTGAAAATTATTTATTCTAATCGTTTCTATTTTCAAACTGAATGTGCGTTTCACATTTGCATATTGTTTCGTAAAATTATTTATAGAAATATAATGATTTTGTTTATTTTTAGCGGTTGTTTGTTAATTTATTAACGCACATCAAAACTGAACTTTGCTCTATGCAACCGAAATGTTACTATTTTTAAATAATAAGAAAGGAAACCCATTTACCTAGAAGTGATACTTGTGATTTATGAGATAATAATATAAATAATTAAAATGTCTAAAATATATCTATCATAGTAAAATTCAATTCCGAACATAAATATACTATAAACATACTAAAAATAAACTTATTTAAATATTCTAACAGCTTTTTTAAATATAAGCTAATTTGCAAAATCAAGGTACATTAAGATACATTAGATGATAATATGAATAATTAAAATGTCTAAACTAAATCTGTAATAGTAAAATTTAATTCCAAACATTGGAATATACCATAAATTTACTAAAAGTAAAATTATTTAAATATTCTAATAGGTTTTTAAATATAAGCTATTTTACAAATTCAACTATTAGCAGACATCTTACACGTATTTAATAAGATTATACGTATAATTGTAAAAGCTTTTACTTATATCTATAAGAATTTAAAACCATACTACCAAGTTATCATTTAAGTCCTATCAGTCATGATGCAAGCTTATAAATTTAACACTATCATAAAATGTTTCCAAATTATCCTTAAATTATGACTACTAATATTAATCAAATTTTTATCAATATTTAATCAAAAATTAATTATTATTTACAGATTATGACAGTTACAATATATGGCATAAACCACGACTGCGGACCATTAGACAAACAAGAATAGACACTTTATCTGTGAGTATTGGAAATTTATGTTTGTAATAGGACATAGATATATGATGTATTATTTTGACATATTTATTGTATGTTTTTGGTTATTTGTGATAAGGCACATTGTTTTATCAACATTTCTTCCATATTTTACTTTCAGATAGCACAGGAATCTGATGTTATGCTTTTTTTAATTGTAGATTTTAAATTCTTATTGTCAATTCAAAAAGCAGCGCATGTGATTTAATAATATAGAGTTAACTATAACTTTGTATAACATTACATCAATTACAACTTTAAGATTCAAAGTTGTTGTTACTTTGTAGTGCTAACTTTTGCTAGTAGAAAAATGACTTCCTAAATTTATTCAGATAACGGCAATTCTTAGAAGTAATTTAGACTTTTGAATTAAAATTTTAAGGTAATGCATTCTTTATTTGAGTATAAGCTTTAATTACACATATCACTCCCTTTACACGGAGGATAGATTCAATGAAAAAGTGCAAATCAACAAATTCACTTTTATATTAATAAACCCTACTAAACAAAAATCACTATAAAACAGTAGTGGATCCACGGGGGGCCACGGGATACATGACCCCCCCTGAGCTGATTTTGGGCCTTAGGTAGACTACTAATTCAACATTGAAATTACTTCATTGTGATTTTATTTATATATTCTGTCATTACCCATATTTTATGTACCTATATACCTTCAATTTTTAATTAGAATAATATAGTCAAACGGCGGTGTAGGACACTTAAAATTTAAGAAAATTTGGAAAATCTTCATAAAATTATATGCGTATTGATTGCGAAATCATTTTGCGTTTAGAAAGAAATACGAAAAATTGTATATAAACTTGGAAAATTAAACGTTAAATTGAGGTTTTAATCTGTAAGTAAACGACTTAATCAAAAAGAAATAAATATATAATACATGAGTGATTTAAAAGTATACCGAGTCGATGTAGAGCATTTTAATTTGAGAAACTATTGAAAATTATTTAATTTCTTACAATTTCTTTTAAATGTTAGTTATTTGGACAAATGGTTGAAATATTGCACATTAATTAGAAAAAACGAACACGAGTCTAATACAGAGTTTTTAAAAGCGCGCCAACTTTAATTAATTATCACAATTTTAACCACTTGCCGCACTTTGATAAGTTTATTTGGACCAGGAACTCTATCTATTTTTTTTTGTCTTAAAATTATGAATAACAATAACAACAAATAATTTGTAATAATTTGTTTTTAATATATTGAGTAACAAACATATTCTACGAAAAATAAATATTAATATATTTATCATCAAACACATTTAATAAATAAAGAATATTAATTTATTACAATAATAAAACTAGTTGGTATTGGTATTTTGCCTTGAGGCAAGTTACATGAACTTCCCGAAATGTGTAAATAATCGACTTAATTAATAAAAAATAAATTAATTTATGAGTGATTATAAGTATTCCGAGTAGATTTATTACCCATCATTGAAAACGAACGCACGATCACAAAGTATTTTCTTAAGGCAAATTTTGAAGAATCAATAATTTTTATAATTGAACCATTTTCCGTAAAAAAAACTACTCATTTTCTCAAACTTTGATACATTTTTAAAATTAAACTACTTGTCGTAAGGCCGTAATATTTTAGTAAGTTCTATAAGACCATGATATCGCCAAAAAAAGTTCTATGAAAATCGGCTTAATTTTTTTTTCAAACAGTTAATTACAAGAAAACGGCTCGGTAGATTTTTACCTAAAACTAATCAGTATCATTCCCAAACTAATATCTTTCGAACAGTTTTTGATTTTTTAAAATCGGTTTGGTAGTATGAGCTTAAATGTGGACGACAGGTTTAACACTTTTTTCCAAATTACAAAGAAACGGCTCGGCCGATCATCGCACAAAACTGAGAAACGATAACCCTCATCGAGATACATCGAATGCTTTTTAAATATTTGAAATCGGTTCAGGCGTTTTTGAGTAAACGTCTATGAAAGTTCTAATTTTGACAAATGTCAAAAAGACCATACTAATTTTTGCAAACTTTGACGAATTTTTAAAGCTAAACCAGTTGTCGTAGGGCCGTAATATTTTAGTATGATCTACAAGACTATGGTATCTACCGTCAAAAAAATAATCATAAAAATCGTCGAATTTTTTTTTAAACTTTATTACAAGAAAACGGCCCGGCCGATCTCTACCAAAAACTAATCAGCACGATTCCCAATATCTTTCGAACGGTTTTTATATTTTCTAAATCGATTCAGAATTGAGGCCTAAAACGTAGACGAAAATTTTTTCACTTTTCTGCGATTTATAAAGAAACGGCTTGGCCAATCATCGCACAAAACTGACAAACAATAGTCATCGAGATACATCGAGTGGCTTTTAAATGTTTGAAATCGGTCCAGCCGTTTTCGAGAAAACATTGATTTACGGCAAAAAATCTGTTCACATATACACACACATACTTTTTCCAAAATTGGTCTCATTTGATTCAGAATGGCTTGAAACGTCGAGAAAACATAAAATTAGCAATTCGGATTTTTTGATGAAAACATAAACTTCTTCGGGAAGTTAAAAATATAAAAAAAACTAATTTAAATATTGAATTTAGATAAAAAGTAGAATTAGGAATTCATTTTGCAATTAATTATATATAAACACTAATTAAGAACAAAGTTTAAAAACAACTATGCTCTTTGCTTTGGTACTTTAAACGAACTAGCATGCACACACATAAAATTTAATTTTGATCATAAAACAGGGATTTTTCATCATAGACATAAACTTTATTTATTTCTTTATTCATAAGCAAGCAGTAATCAATGATAATAAATATTATTTCAGAGTCTTGCCAAGACTAATAATAATAGTAACTGTAACATACATTTTGCAGTACTATGTATTTGTTGTATTTTGACAGTTAATCAATGAAAATATTATTGCAGAAAAAGCAAATTATAGTTTAGTGTTTATAATTTTGTGTAAATGCAAAATTAATAAATTTTGTTTAAAAAACATTATTTTCATAAACCGTATAAGATCGATAACGTGTAAAACGTGTACCGCGTAAAACGGGGTATAGGTGTTAGAAATAAAATTACTTATAGTAAAGTTTGGAAATTAGTTTATTATATGAATTTTATATGGACAAATTATTCAAAATATATCAAAATAGCATGGAATTAATTTCCAAAAATATTTGTGGTTAAAGAGATACCATTTTCAACTATTCAACTATTCGTGTACAATCAAATATTTGTCTTATTTAATAATCACAGTTTGTGAATGTGAAAGTATCCACTATAATACCTTATTAGTGTTCAACGTAACTAAATCTTTATATTACCTTGTCATAATTTTAAAGCGTGAATAGATCATATTTCAAGCTACGATCGACTTTGACTAATGCATTAACTAATCTAAAAAAGTACAAAAGGCATGAAACCATATTTAGTAAGTAGACGTGCTCTCAAACATCAAATCATATGCGTGACTAATTGAATAAAAGTCCATCACATATTTCTATAGGGTTTCTATATCAAATTCGTATCACAATATCTAGCTGACTTATCGTGCTTTATCGTTATTAGACGGAAAGCTTGTATATATTATTAGATATTGAAAAATGGTCGTCAATATTGTTTGATGTGCGTTTGAATTATTGCATTTTTGAAATCCGAATATTGCAGAAAATAGTGCTCATATTTTCTATTTTGAAATAAACAAAATTCAGTTTTTAGTTTTAATTTTTTTATTATTGCATAGCTTCAATAAAACTGTAGAATTTGCCATATAGCAATATCTATCAGCATAGATATTTAAATCAATTTAAATAAAAATTGAAATCGACTGATACGGTTTTTTTAGAGTGAATAGATAAAAAGTTGGATATCGATGTTTACCTATTACTTTAATTACTTATTACCTATTGCTTCACCTTAAAATAAGACTTTGGGAGATGTTGAGTGGATAGGGGCTTAAAGGTCCGCTGGCAAAAAGGTCCACCACTTATCTCAGAAATCAGTAAAGTTAAGATTTTTTTAATAACAATATTTGAAAGTAGAGGTAAAAGGATGTGTAACAAAAACCTGCTATCATCTTGTTTCTTAAGAATTTGCTATCGGGGGCAAAACGACATCGTTTGAAAATTCATAACAAAAGTTTTTTTTTTGTTGTTATTTGGTTTGGTTTTGAGTACTGTTGCTTAGTTTACGAGACCTTAATATAATTTTTAGGTATATATTTTTTAATTATTTCATAAGATGTATTATTAATTTTAATTTAGATTCAAGTTTTTTTTATATCATCTCTATAAAAGCTAACACCTGGGTGGGATAAAAAGGACCAACTAAACCTTTACCATGGCAAAAGTTTTGAAAATAAAAATAGCAAATACAAAAGTAAATTAAGTTAAAAGCAATTTTATAAGAAATAAATGAAATAAATAGTCGTTTCAACTCTGCTGATGAAGATTTTTGACGAAATACCAAATCAAAGGTTATTTACAGTGTTATCTCCATTAAAAAATGGACCCATGAAATTTATACTTTGCAATAGTAGAAAAATGTAGCTATTATTTTGTAAAATCCCTCTAAAATTAAAATGACACATTGGACAAGTGTGTTGCACAAGTTTTTGAAAAACAGCATGTTTCTACTATGATGAATTAATTAGCTGGAAGTTTTACTGAACATAGTCAGATAGTTGTTTGTTTGATATAATTTGTTATTAATAACAGTGGTATTTGTTGTGATATAATTGTTCAAAGTCAAATTGGACCTTTGTGCCCCGTCCTACCATATTTTTCCAAGCATTCTCATTCAACGTGTTCTCCTATCTATTATTATTCAATGGTTATTCATTTTGTTTTTGATAGTATTCATACTCACAATCAGTTTTTTATATAAAAGCATTGATGATTGTGATAGATATCGTGATATATCATTATAAATTAGTAGCAATTGTAAACATGCACTGTTTGGAATGAAATATGTTTAAAAAAAATATTTAAATTTTAAAACGTCATAACAAATTTAATCGCTATGTTTTTACCAAAATTGTTTAAATTATCAAGTGCTATGTTTTTACCATTAAATTGTTCATAATATTTTTTCAAATTTCATTTCAATAACACTGCCGTAAAAATCGGCAAAATATTTTCATAGTTTGTTTTCAATTCGATTGTTTTTCCAGTTTTAACATTTAGTCTGGCTCTTGTTGGCGTCACACCAAAGCTTATCCTCGATCAACATCTCGTTGCCTTTCAAATCGATCGGCTTGTTCTATGAAATTGATAAGAACGCTCTATATATAAAATGGATCGATTAGAATTTTACATGTATAAAGCGCTGAGTTGAAGCAAACATATATTTAGATATAAAAGTACTTACGTTGAATCAATAATTAAATATAAATTAGTTACGGAATTTTCTGTCAATGGATAGAGTCAAGTTGCATGATATGAATAGTTTGTCATTTGTTTATTTGCATCAAGAATTTAACATATTCGTTCAAAAGACATGATTATACAATAGCACATCTTTTAAGACTTGATTTTTATTTTTATATAGATTAAACTAATTTATATAATTTATCCGTTGACCGTATTGCTATTACTTATTTGTAGAAAATTTAGCCATTTTTTCAAATAGGAGTTAGTAGCTAGCTTTTGATTTTGTCCCAAACATAACCATTGGCATAGTAAGAATTTTGATAGGGGAGAAGGATTGTAAACCGAGGTAAACCATACTAATTGTTAAGGATTCTTTTGAAATATGTTTATTATCACTGTTGTTAAGAATTTGTTTTAAATATTTATATAATTACAATATTATTTACTTTATGTAGGCACCGTATATTAGTGCATATTAAGTATTATTTCTAAAATAGCCTAATTGTAAGTAAATTCAAATCTGTCATGTTATCTTTATCTTTATTGTATATACAAATTATATTTTACCTTTGAACATATGAAATTTATTATATGTTTCATGAATACTTTTGAATATTTCTCTATTAGCAACACTAGATACAGTATTCAAATATTGAAGTGCATGAGAGTCGCATAGGCTATGTATTTGGTATCAGCAATTCAGTAAGGATTGCTTAATTTCATTTGTCAAAGTGTAAGAAGAAAGTTCAACTATTAAATCGTGCATCAAATAAGCAAGCCTTGATAAATTGCGTTTTAATTTGATGAGTGAAGTAAAAACCTTTTCTATAGCGTGTATAAGATCTGCTAGTACACTTTGAAAACTATCTTTTTCCACACTATCAGATTCTTTTGAAGCAGACCACCGTGCCAATATTTTAATTAAATAACGTATTCCATATATTACCACAGAGAGTCTGTTTAATATTAATGCTGTTCTTTTAAGCAAAGTAAAATTCACAATTTCAGAGCCAGTTTTAAACAGATCCACTCCGAATGTTGATAAATCATCAAAAGGTGTTAGAAAAACAGCACTTAAAATTGATTCAATCACTAATACATTAATTTGAAGCAAAGGATTTTTAGTAATTTTTTTAGTTTTATTATTAATATCTCTTTTTCAATATAAAGGGATACTGATTATTGCATCAAATTTTATCTTGGTTATAAATTCATTTACCTTTCCAAAGAATTGGACTAGGTTTATTTCTACCATCCGTATTGAACTGATTATAGAAATTTTTCTAATTTTATAGTTATATTAGTATATTTGTGAACTCCCCCTTCTTAGGCAGTTTTAATCATTTTTATATTATATATTTAAGTTTATAAATTTAGTATTCAGTAAGTTGCGAGACTAAACACATATTAAGAAATTTAGTTCGCACAAGTTACTCAATCATTTAATAAAATTTTTCTATGTTTATGCCTATTGTCGCTTTTTATTCTTCTAATAATTACAGAGTACACAAATATTTAAAAGTGCGGTAATTAATTTTTCTATAAAGTGATAACAGCAAAGGCAGCAGTAAGGTGTAATTTTACGCCTTAACACTAATATTTCAATCAATTTCAATTAACACACTATAGGCATAGGCTGGCCCCGTAAAAATACTCGTCATTTTTTAGTCACCATATATTGTAGGCTTCTTATTGCCCTTACGTTTTGAATATATTTCTACTTTAGCGTTTCAGGATGCTCTAAATATTTTGTGAAATTTAGTTCTATCTCCAGTTTATATTTTTTGTGCCCATTTTATAAAATAATTTTGAACTGATTACAAAAGTTTGATAACCGACAAGTTTGATTTAATGATTTTAAAATGCGGATACGTATAATATATCATAGCCTTTTTTAATAACTTACTATAGATAATTAAAGTAATTCGATGACAATGTCGTCGCTTCAATTTTCTTTGACATAGTACAAAATACTGTTTTCCAAACTATTAGTTTGGCGTCAAAATATTTTTTAAGCTTGCCAATCGCAAACCTCAACTAATGTTTCTATGATTATGAAGATAAAATGATATATACTCAACCTTTAATTTGTATTAACCTTTTTCATTCATATTTATTATCCAATATTTGCAAGATTTAAAGCTTAAAGCTAATTATTAATAATGTTTAATTTTGCAGAGCGATAGTAGCAAACTGGTGGTTCGTGATAATAGAAAACCGGTATTTACACGATGCGGCCAATATCACGCGAGTGTAAAAGAAGAACAAGAATATGGGACTCCAGTATTGACCGTTCATGCCGTGGACAAGGATCCCCCCGACGCCGGGGGTTCCGTTGAGTATGCATTTGTGGCGGCCCCTGGCGAGCGTCTCAAGTTTCACATTGACCCGCAAACTGGCAATATCACGACACGACATGTGAGTCACTTTTTGAAAATGTATTCGCTTGAGTTATTACAATAACTTATTCATAGATAATAGAAGAGTAAACTTATTAATAAAAGTTAGTTATAAGATTCTCATCAAAGGTGGCGCTGCTAATGTCATATAAAAACCACCTTAAGGGGGTATTCTAGTGTAGATCGATGTATTTTAGGTCATTTTTAAAGTGTCGTAAAAGAAAGCAATGAATGTTTTTACTATACACTTTTTTACCACTTGTTTATTAATATCATTAAAATACAAAACAAAAATTAAAAAATAAAACGTTGAAAATTGTAAAAACTGGCAGCTGATAAAGTGGGTGGTCTCAAAAAATTGGCACCTCAGTCTTGACATGATTTCAGCCTTCCTAGCCATCGAAAATGCAAAAAATAAAAAGATTATTAATCTACAATGATGTCGCAATCGCCCGAACGAGCTATGAGTAAAAAAAATTTTTTTTACAAATTGGCGACTGTTTGAAAAAAAAGTGTTTTTTTACTGTTTTTTTGAGTTTCTCGAATTTTTTAAAAATAGTAAAAAAATGTATTTGAAGGTAATCCTAGTTCGGGCTAAAGATAGGTCAATAAACAAGGCTCTCTGAACATTTCAAGTGAATCGGTCGATTAAAACTCGAGAAACCGTGTCAACAGTACTGAAAAAGTGGGTTCTGAGAAAAACGCATTTAAAGTTTTTTGTGAAGCCAAACCAGTATGGAGAGTCAGTAAAATGCCTATATCTCCGAAAATAATTCAAATTTTCAAAAACCTTCTCGTACCCATATTCTTAGACAGTTAAACTTTGAAAATATGAAATAAAAAAAACGATTTTTTTAGAAGGCGGTATTCTGGTCTAGAAATTTAAAAAAATCTTTGCTTGCTATATATATATATATATATATATATATATATCAAAGTTTAACTATTCAAGAATATGTGTGCAAGAGGATTTTTCAAAATTTAAATTATTTTTGGAGATTTATTTATTTGACCACGATAATCGTTCTCTGTTTTCTTCCGCCTCGAATCCTTAAACGTATTTTCTTTAAACTGTCTATTTCTATACGATACCCAGATTCCTAAATTTTTACAAATTTACTTGAATTTTCTTTATCGACTTCTCTTCAGTATGAACTACGCTCATACCCAAAATCCGATTTTTACTATTGTTAAAAAATTCGAGAATATAAGAAAAAAATGTGAAAAAAATATTTTTATTTTAGAAAGTCGATATTTTGTGGAAAAAGTATTTTAACTCAGTCCGTAGTTCGACATTATTACTTTATATACATAAATTTTTTCCTTATTTGGAGGGCCAAAATCGTGGGTATGTACTAGAGATGGGCTTATCATATCCAAAGCCGGAGCGGTTTGGATTTGACTCCGCTTCTGAGAGGAGTTATATCCACTTACTTCACAACTCCGACAACTTTGAAACATAATACTTGACGCAAATGTGTTCTCTAGTGTGTTGTTAACATATCTAAGGATTTATTAAGAATTTGGAAATAGTTTACAAATAGTTCAAACATTTTTGTTAATTTTTTATCATAATTACTATTTTATACATTTCAATATGCATACAAATCTCAAATTGACAAAAAACTTGGAAATCAAAATCAATTTTGTAATTATTTTTGAAGGGAAAATATAGAACTCTTTGAATATGTTTATTTTTATATGAAAATAATGCAGTGAATCTTATATGTGAAATAAGAACAAATCTTTGTGTATAATATTTTTCACAAAATAATAATACCTCACATTCTTTTATTATTTTCCTTTCGAGAATTAATTATACATCAGTTAGTTTGATTAGCATACTATTACTTTTACACAATTATAAAATTATAATTGTGTAAAAGTTATAATACTAAATATTTTTTAACTGGTTGTATACCATTGAAAGAGCTCATTTACGGGCAAACATTATCGTATACAGAATATAGAATACAAATTATCATTATTTTGAGACATTATATACCTGGAAAGTCCTAAAACTGGCAGTGAGACGAGAAAAGGACCACTTCCTTCGACCCAAAGCTTTGGATTAGTAAAAATTCTCAAGCAAATATCTGCACATGTTAACAGATTTAGTACCAATTTAGGGAAGTCGGATATGACAAAGTCTGTGAGACAACTCCACTCGAATTCACTCCGAGAGAGGAGTTGTATCGAAGTGATAACTCCGGAGTGAGTTACCCATCTCTAGTATGTACAGATGCCAATTTTCTGGGAGCCCCCATTTCATCACCTTCTAGAATCAAAACTTCATTTCTATTAAACTAGAATTTAAACTATTTTTAATTTTTATTTTTTTATGTTCTTAAAACATAATTCAATTCAATAATTTGCAAACAAAATATAGAGTTGTTTAACTTTTTTTAAATTTTTCAAAAATTGCATCAAATTCATGCTTCTTCTGATAGACTAGATTACCCTTAAAACAAAACAACTCCTTGCTATATTATGCTTATCATTTACATTTTATAACAATAAATTTTCGTAGTTTACACTGTGCTTATTTAAGATCTTATCATTTTGTATTATTTGCACTACTTACATAGAAAACCAGTCATTATAGTAAATTCACCTCGGAATTCGAGATACCCAGCTGTAAATATGTAAATACTGTATATTGACACACTGAAGTTGGCTCAAAAACTACATATGGTATTGGCACCCTACCATTTGTAGGTTTTGAGACAACTTTAGGGTGTCAATATACAAGTATTTACAGATTTACAGCTAGGTATCTCGAATTCCGAGATTCGTACCTAATTTAGGCTTAGATGATACTACGCAAAATGGGTTCAAAGTATTATAGTAAGGTCACCTCGGAATTCGAGATACCTAGCTGTAAATCTGTACATTGACACACTGAAGTTGTCTCAAAAACTACATATGGTATTTATACCCTACCATATGTAGGTTTTGAGACAACTTTAGGGTGTCAATATACAAGTATTTACAGACTTACAGCTGGGTATCTCGAATTCCGAGGTTCGTACCTAATTTAAGCTTAGATGACACTACGCAAAATGGGTTCAAAGTAGTTTACTTTTCGCTTTAGAAATTCTAAATTAGAATCGTATGTAATAATTTTATTCCTGATGAAGTATTTGTAAAAGATTGATTGATTATACCAGATCTTTATATTTCTTTATTAATTCAAACTCTTTTTTTTTCAGTCATTCGACCGAGACGAGCCTGCCCGCGAGAAGGAGATTTATGTGACAGTTCGCGCAACCGACAACGGAAAGCCGCCCCTGGATGACGTGTGTGTCATTCGCATCAACATAGAAGACATCAACGACAACTCGCCTGTCTTTGATAAAGTCGTAAGTGGCTTATTTCTTGATCTGCGCTAGTTACTCACTACGATATTACATTCACTTCTTGCGAACCTACTAATCATTCGCTTTAATTCTGACGTACGAGCAGCATACACACATATATAATTTTTCAGATGGTGATAAATATGTTGATTAAACAAAATACTTCTTAACAGACATCCATTCAGATAATAAAATAGAATGAAAACTAAAATATGTTTCTTAAAATAAATTTAATAGATTAAAAAGTTTTGAGTCCCAATTTGACTCTTCTTTAATCTTCTATATATATAAAAATAAGTCGGGTTTTCCTTCCTGACGAAATAACTCCAGAACGCACGAACCCATTTCGACAATTTTGCATTCGTTGGAAAGGTCTCGGGCTCCGCAAGGTTTATAGCTAAGAAAATTAGTTGTGCATGGCAACGTGCCTTAATGCAAGCTACTGGAACTTCACGCACCGTAATTAAAACTTCGAGTAATGACATTAGTGAGAATTATCAGAATTATGCTTGGTTAAGTCAACGAGCAATTCTTGACGCAAAGAATAATGATGTATACACGCACTGAATTTCACCATTCAATCAAAAATTGCTGGCGATTTCGTGACATACCAATGATTCCGACTGGTCTTCCGTTTGACTTCAAACGATTGCAATTTCCAGTTCGCAATAACAAGTCTCAAGGCCAATCGCTTAGTGTTTGCGGGATAAATTTCAAATAGATTATTTAGAAAATCATTGTTTTTCACATGGGCAGTTATACGTTGTCTGTTCACGAGTTGGAAAACCATCCGCTTTGTTTGTGTTAACGTCAGACCAAAAAACAAAAAATGTGGTTTACCAAAGAGCACTACAATGAAACGGATAATTTGCGGATTCACTTTCATTTACTTAGAGAAGTTCAACTAAAAAACACTTCATTTTTGTAATAGAAATAAATTCATTACTGTTGTAAATTTCTTCATCTTTCTCACGAAACCATCTGGTGGCGAAACGGAGTTCGTCGGGTTTGCTAGTATATATATATATATATATATATATATATAATTAGATTTTTTTGTTTGACGTTGAGACATATCTTGAATATTGATTTTCAGCCAATCGTCAGAATAGAAGAAAACGAATAAATAGAAATATTTTCAGAGGCTTCCATACTTTTCATTATATATTTAATATATTGGCGAAACTTCGCAATATATCTACAAGAGAATGACAGAGAATGAAACACATTTGTAATTCTAAAAATCCAAATCAGTATAAGACAATGTTTTCTGAACAAGCCATTAGTTTAAATCATACTTTCAATACCAAAAATCCTATTATTTTACACAACGAAAAGAATGGTGACCTCAGAAAATTTGCTGAATCTGTATTCATCTTTCAGACAATGTTTTCCGAACATGCCATTAGTTTAAATCATACTTTCAATACCAAAAATCCTATTATTTTACACAACGAAAAGAATGGTGACCTCAGAAAATTTGCTGAATCTGTATTCAACTTTTTAAACCCCTTTTGCGTTAATAAACGAAATTCTGCTCTGTTAGTACATGACTCTTATCATAACATTATCATTTTTTTAAATAATTCTTTAAATCTTTGACCCTTGTGATTTTTATACCAAATCATTGTTACTAAATCAGGAATCTCGAGTCTAAATATTCACACAACTGGATACACCGCCGCCGGAATAATTTCAGAGCAAAGCAAAATTTCAGTTTGACCTTCTCGAAAGTTCTAAATTAAAACCAATAAATAACTAAATTAAGAGCTATGCATATATTTTTTAAATCTATATCCTAAAGGTTTTCTATTAATAGCAAGAAAAAGTGATTGCATATTAATTCTTGCGTCAATAAGTTGCAATAACAAAAATGATCATTTATTCGTATTACCTATGCCTATTTATAAATACAATATCTCAAACTTGTTACTTCTTTTGTTTATTTTATATGGAATTTTGAAGTTTTATTATCTATGAGTCCAGCGTTCACATCAACAATTTATGGATAACATAATTATAAACCATAACACGAAACCCAAGATAGTTTATAATCTAAATAAACTATATAACCCGCTTGAGAACGCTTTTATATTAGACAAAAACAAAATAAATATCCTTTTGTATATAATTTAATTTTGAAGAGCTATCAACGTGTCTTGTATCTAACTATAATATTATGATTGTCAGTTCACATTTCAGATTTCGGATAATTGTAGTTAGCTGTTTTGTAATTTGCCATTTTAAAGTTCATATTATTTAATAAATATGCATAGGCGAATTAAAAATAGAAGGATCTTTTTTCACTATTATATACAATATAATATAATATATATATATATATATATATATATATATATATATATATATATTAGGGTGGACCTTAAAATGGTCATTTTCGAATTTCCTTGCTCCCAGGGGCTCAAATGGTTCCAAATAGATAAAAAACAATTCTCTGAAAGTTTTAGCTCTTAATATTAACGTTTAGATAGAGCGCAATTCAATCAAAGTTTTGTATGGAGATAGCATGAAAAAATTTTCAAAAATTTTAAAAATGTTTTTTAGATGTAATTTAGTGAACAAATGAATGAATAAAACTCATTCATTTGTCGTTAAGTTAAACCTAAAACATTTTTTTTTAATTTTCAAAAATTTTGCCATGCTCTTTCCATACAAACTTTGATTGAATTGCGCTCTATCTAAACGTTAATATTAAGAGCTAAAACTTTCAGAGAATTGTTTTTTATCTATTTGGAACCATTTGAGCCCCTGGGAGCAAGGAAATTCGAAAATGACCATTTTAAGGACCACCCTAATATATATATATATATATATATTTCAAATGCATTTTGTTTTATATTGCATACAGAAATAGTAAATCAGTGTATATTTTTTTTTATTTATATGAACTTTTTGTACTAAAATATTCAATAATATTTATATTTTTTCTATTTATATTCAACTTATTTTTACATTTTAACTTCAGCAATATTTGGAATCAGTACCGCAAGATTTGAAGGTAGATCATGAAGTAATGAGAATATCAGCAACGGATATAGACAACGGAAATAACAGCGTTGTCCATTACACGCTTAAATCAGGATCTCTGGATGATAGTTATTTTAGAATAGATAAAAGTACCGGTGTTATATATCTGCAAAAACCAATTGATGTAAGTTAAAGTATTTTCTATGTAATGCAAACCATGCCATGAAAATGCTTATTGAAAGAATGGGTTCCTTAAATTTTAGAAAAGTCCTGGATATAAATTTCGTCTTATGGCTAAAGCTGAGGATCAGGGCGAAACACCACTATCGAATCAAATAGAGCTTGAGATTCAAGTAGTCGAGTCTAATAAGAAATCGCCTAGTTTTATTGGAAGTCCATATGAACCAGTAAGCATGCCAGAAGATTTCAAAAATTTTGCAGATCCTATAATCACCATCCAAGCAGTGTAAGTGTAACTTATGATTTATTTCATACGTATGTAGATTATGTAGATATTATTAAATTATTTTTTATAACAATTCAATCTCTTTGCATAATTTACAACTTTACTTAAAAAATCAATTTGCTTTCCTAACTTTAGTAACTTTGTTATTAAAAATAGTTAAAATAATAAATATAAAAAGTCATAAATAAAACCATTTATAACTAATTCTTAGTACGTATCCGTTGTATATCAAAGATATTTTAAAAACAATTGATCAATCATACAAAAGTTGAACAAAAATGTGCTGGTATCGCACTGTACAATTGCGCTAAGCAGGATTAGTTTTAAACGAGCTTTAAATGCGGGTTCGAATCTCTTTGGCCGCCGAATAAATTTCTAAGCGTCCCAATAGCTATCAATTTAATTCAATTAGTTCCAGTAGTAAGAACTTTATTAGATAAAAAAAAAATCTGTGGTACATTAATATAACTACGGTTCTTTAACTCTTACGCGGGTATATAAAGTATATTTTATATCTCAATTGATATTAACCACTACTTCTCTTTGCACTAAATGTAACATTAATAAATAATTATAAATTATATGCAATATTTTGAAATAAAAAAGGTCGATTTAAACTATCTTGCGTTGTTTCTTTTAACAGAATATGTTTCTGAAATTAATTATAAATATTTTTTCTGGTAGGAGATAAAAATTAGCAAAATACTATTAAGTTAGATTCACTCGTTAAGATTTCTTGTAGCTCTTGCACATTTGTTTATAAATACACTTTTACCTACAGAGGAAGTAAAGATTTCAGAATATTCTCGACATATAGAAACTTAATGGCACTTAATTAAAATCTGATGCAACGCGGAACCTCTTCATTATAAAGTAATTGTATAATATATAATTATTGGCATAAGATGATTGAATTTTATCTTTACATTATTTTCAGATTATTGTATTAAAATATATTTAACCCTCCGTCGGTCGGCGTGGTCTGGCCAGACTTTTTTCGACTTCAATTAAAAAAATAAAATACTTCTAGTAATCCTATACTTGAAATCGACTTGAAATTTCTTTTCGACTTTTCCTAAAGTTTCATTAGCTGTCGATCAGTGAAAAAATTAGGACGAAAAAATGTATAGAAGGATAATTATAAGGATATTAACTTTTTTATACTTCGAACGGTCGGAAAGGTCTGTCTAGACCACCCATACATTTTGTATGGAATATACGCTTTTTGATATAGGTAAACCAGTATTTTGTCTTTTTTCATGGCATTTTCTATTCAAACTGCGTATATATTCTTTGCTATGTGTTGTAACATGAATGTTACTATTTTCATGACGAGAGTTCCTTGAAAACCTATCAAATTTATTGGTAATCGCAAACACTGAAAATCGGATGAGCAATGCACACATTATCAACAATTTTTCCACCCGTATTGCGTTCGATTTTTTTTTTTTGGCAAACCTGTAGTAAAATTATATTTTCACTGAGTTTTACAGCTCATTTCAAAGGCGACGCACCTCATTTCGTTTTCATTTGAATTTCACATTCATTTCAAAGGCGCCGAAAAAGAATAAATATTGTTTTTCATTGATATAAAACAGAAAAATTAACAAAAAAGCAACGATTTTTTTATATTTTTTGATTCTTTTAATATAATATAATATGTAATATTTTTATTATAAGCAAGCTCAACACATGCAAAAGACGGCAAGAAAAAGAAAAAATCAAAACTATAAATATTTCTACTAATAATCGTTAATATATAAGACACCAAAAACTCATTTATCCCATATAAATGCATGTAAAATGAATGGTGGTCCAGCCAGACCTTTCCGACCGTTCGAAGGTGAAAAAATATCCGACCGACGGAGGTTTAAAAATAGCATAATAATACTTAAATTGCTTGAATTTAATTTCAAATTATTTCAATACCTTTAATTTAGGTCGAACATATTAGAACCGGATCTACTTTTCGAATTGGTGACTGGTCGTACAGAACAAACGAATAAACTTAACAATTTTCGATTGGAATCGGCTGGGAACAAAGCTCATATTATATTGGCTAAGCCACTGGATTATGAATCTATAGCCGAATACACTTTGACTGTACGTGCACAAAATGCACATAATTTAGCAGCCGAGACACAAATTCAGGTTCATGTGACAGATGTGAACGATAACATTCCATATTTCACGGAAGTCGTTGCTGGATCTGTATCCGAGAACGAACCTCCAGGGAGTCCAGTGATGCAGGTACGGAAAATAAACTTGTGTGATGATCGATCGATATTGCGAAACTTTTTTATTTGTAGATATTAAAATAGAATGTATTTGTAATCCGTAGCTTTTGGTTTAAACTACAGGTAACCCCCGTACAATACGGTATTAGTTACGTTCCAGAAAACTAACGTGCTATGCGAATCCTTGTTATAGGGACAAAGAACTAGTACAAAAAGAGGGATTACGTTCCGAGAATTCAAAAAAGCATGCTACATATCATGATTTTATAATAAATATTGTTACATTTATTCATTTTATAAATATACATTACTTGAATTATATGACTTTTATCGTCATAATTTTAACAATAAGGGCAATCCAACATGATCCTTTTTTGCAAGATATCCTCATCCTCTGAGCAGTTTTCTGTACTACCTTCAGATCCGTGCATTATTTTTTGCAAAAAAATTATATTTGCGATTACTTGCTTTTAGCAAAAAAGTTTTAATGAGAATTGTATAAGAATTATTTAATATATTGTTCGGATAATCCTAGATTTTTTTTCGATAGAACGTACGCGCTCTAATAATATCAAATTAGTTGCACTCGTTTTATCACATTTATTGAGCTATTGTACGGCGATTTTACCAATTTTAGCAGTTTAATTAAATAAAGTTTGCTTTTCAAAGGTTTTATTATATTTCTTATTTTATTAAAACTTTCTTAAACCGTGTTATGCGAACCCGAGAGTATTGTGTTATGAGGGGGTTGGTCTCAATTCTTTAACCGTGTTAGAGCGAATTCGTGTTATAAAAGTACTGTATTATGCGGAGGTTACCTGTATTCAAAATATTTAACACAATTATATCGAAAAATAAATAACATATATAATATGCAGTATGTTTAAAATTTTAGATTCTAGGTTCAATTTAAATATGGTTTCATTTAGCAGGTTGACTGCCGATCTAATCTTTGAATCCCTCTCTAGTGCCACTATGCATTATGTTCTTTTTGCTTTATTCATGTTATAAATAATCTAAATTTTGTTTATGTATTTTTTTTATATTTCATTTATTCTAAAATTATATCTACCCCGATCGGTCTTAAAAATTTTCACGGAATGCCGATATATGCTGGTTGCGCCCAACATAAGGCTCAGTATGCTGTTTTTAAAAATGATCGTTATTTTATTATTCGTCACAATAGAAATCATGCGTCATGTGTGTTTGGACGAACCTAGGCCAGGAAATAGAATTTCATTCTAATTGGAATTTACTTACATATGATTTTATTCATTTTATAAATAATTTACTTTATAAAAATACTCATTATATTACTCTTCTTAAAGTTAAAATTTAATCATCTATTAATAGTACAGAGGTATAATATAAATCAATAACTCGACTAGTTTTATAATCCGTAATGATACATACTCCTGATATATTCAATCAAGATGAATTTTTTGAACATCATTTTTGTCTGTAAGATTTTTTCTTCATTTACATAATTTGATTTTAAATCATTTCTTTCAATTTTAGGTAAAAGCTATAGATCGAGACGCAACAAGTGCGCATAATATTGTAACATACACATTGGAAGATCATCTGGACTTATTCACTATCGATAGAAATACAGGAAACATTACAACTTTACGAGAATTTGATCGGGAAGATAAAGAAGCTTATAACGTTAAAATTCGGGCGAACGACAATTCTCCTTCAGCACTTCTACCTGGTGGCGACAGATATCATTTTGGTATGTCTGGCGATTTCATGAAAATTCTATATTAAAATGAATTTGCACTTTTTCAATTTATTAATATTATTCTTATTATTCGTAGGTGAACAAACGTTTAGAATAGAAATTTCTGATAAAAATGATAATCCACCTTATTTTACAAAAGAAGTATTTGTCGCTGATGCCATTTCAGAAGATGCCAATGTTAATGCGCTAGTTACTGAAATTGAAGCTAAAGATCAAGATACAGGTGAAATTAATTTATCAATTTTTTATTACATTTCATATAACATGTTCATAATTGAATGTATGTCGATTTACAGCATCTATTATTGAATATTCCATAACTGGTGGTAACACATATGATGCGTTTTCAATTGAGAAAACAACTGGTAAAATTCGAATAAAAAATAAGCTTGACTATGAAAATATAACAGAATACACATTGAATGTGAGAGCATTTGATGGTATTTATGAAGCTAGAGCCAAAGTTGAAATCAAAATTGAAAATGTCAATGACAATCCACCGCAGTTTACTAAACAGAATATTACTGTTTCCATTTTGGAAGAAACATTGCCTGAGGGTTGTATTGCCTATGTAAGTAATAATTGTTCAGTATATTAACAAACACCGATTTTTTAATGTATAATTTCATTGTTCTGTAATAGGTGGAAGCTTATGATCCAGATATACCAAACAGAAATGCCCCTCAAGGAATAGTATATTCTATAGTTAAAGAGGAACAAAGAAAATTACTATCTATTGATGAAAGTGGCTGTTTAAGACTTATAAAGGTTTGTGTTAACAAAATATTGATTATTAAAATTTTGTTATATTATTAATTATTACTATGTTAAATCTCTAGCCATTGGATAGAGATCCGCCAAACGGTTTTCCACGATGGCAAGTAATTGTTTCTGCTGTAGATGAAAATGGGGGACCAGGAGGTGTCAGTAATTCTACCGAAGTTATTATTGAATTAGAAGACATAAATGACAATGCTCCCTACCTTAGTAACGTAAGATATAATGATTTATTTGGAAGCTATTTTATACAATAACAATATAAAATTAAAAATTTATCATTTTAGATTCAACCAGTCGTTTGGTATGAAAATGAACCTCCAAATCGTCCAATTGTGTTGTTGACTGCTAAAGACAATGATTCAGATATAAATGGACCACCCTTTCAATTCGATCTTGATTTTAGGGCTTCTGATGATGTAAAAATGAAATTTGAAATAAGAGGTACATTAACATCATATTTAATATCCTAATTTAAATTCTAATCTGTACATTTTATGGAGTGATTTAATCGGGATCTGATTTTTGTATATAAAATTAGAGGGTAGCACATTTTTGGAAATGAAATATTTGTTTTATGCAATAGTTTTGGAAGAGAATTTTAAAGTTCCTTATGCTCTTCAACAAAAAAATGGAATTGTAGTGAACTAATTGATATATATTTATTTCTTGATGCTCATAATTTTGTTTCAGAAGGTAAATATCTATACCCACTAGTGACTTTTGACAGGGAGGAAATAAAAGATTACTTCATAGACATATCTATAACTGATAATGGTACACCAACTATGACTGGTGTAAGCATACTCCATGTTGTAATTGGCGATGTCAATGATAACAAAATGCAACCAGGAGAAAGCTCAATATTTGTTTATAATTATAAGGTATAGAAATGATTTTTTTAAATGTTCTATTTGATTTTGATTTAAACGATTTATTTATTAATAGGGTGAATCTCCAAATACGGACATCGGCAGAGTATATGTGAATGACCCTGATGATTGGGACTTGCCCGATAAAAGATTTGAATGGTTGGATGGTCTTGTTGACCCTAAGTTCATTTTAGACAGTGATACTGGTATGATAACTATGAGGCAGGGTACTCAGGATGGGATATATAGACTCAATTTCAAGGTAATTTGATGAAATTATGTTCTTTTTTTTGAATATATAATAAATACTTTTAACTGAGTATTAATAACAATATGAACTAGGAAATAACTTTATGAACCGTTTCAAGTTTTATTCCTTGTTAAGTGAGAGAGCTTTATCAACTTTTAAAATACTACTTGTTATTACTACAAAGACAAGCAGAGTTTTATTTAATTGTAGAATTTAGTCTTTGATAGATATCATAGTTTTATAGGACATATTGAAATATTACATTACTAAATTGTTACAGTTTAAATTAAAAAATCCATCAAAGTTAAGCAGCGTTTTTTGATGTGAGTCTAAATTAGATTTTTCATTGACGTTTTCTCTAAAACAGCTAAATCTATTTCAAAAATTTAAAAACCATTCAATTAATTTTTATAAGTACTCGCGCTGGTTAGTTTATTTATATGATCGGCTAAGCCATTTCTTTGGAATTGGCAAAAAAGTGCAAAAATTTTCAACCATGTTTTAATCAAAAATTTTGAGATATCATTTGGGAATCGCGTTGATTAGTTTTTGACAAATAATAGCCAGGTCGTTTTTTCGTAATTGATTCTTAAATATTTTTTTTACAAATTTTTTGATGAAACTTTTTGTGGCGATAGAGTACCTGGTTTAAATAAAATACGTAAATATTATAGTCCTACGAAAAGTAGTTTAATTATAAAAATTAATTAAAATCATGCGCGCTTTTAGAAAATACATCATGTATGTTTTATGTATTTGTTTGTTTTTGAATAATGTGCAATAAATTTTTTTTACAAAATTGAATGATCTGCAATAGTTTCTCACATCATAATGCTCTACACAAACTTGGTGTACTTATAAATTACTCATGAATTAAAATATTGATTTCCTATTGATTAAGATGATTACACATGGCAGGAAGCTCATGCAACTTGATTTAAGGCAAAATGCACAGTGGCACAAACGCATACATTCCATATGAAATATTATTTAAATTCTATCTATATTTCATACAACATGTTATTTGAAAATGTTATTTTCTTAAATACAATTATCTTTGAACTATATATAATATGTCTAAATTCTGGCGAATTTAAAATAGGTGACAGAGGAATCATTATTGATAGAAAGACATTCAGTAGACGCATCAGTGACAATCACAGTTAAAGAAATACCAGAGGAAGCAGTAGATAAGTCAGGATCAGTTCGATTATTGGGCATAACGGCTGAGCAATTTATTCAATCTAACCATGTAAGTATACAATAATTGTGATATATTTCTTAATATCTTTTAGTTCATATTACTAACATTGAATAATTTTTTATAGTTTGCGGAACCTAGTCTGAAAGATAAATTTAGATTGAAATTAGCTACACTATTGAATACTTCATATGAAAATGTTGATTTGTTCACTGTTTTGCATCATAATGATAATACTAGTCTTTTAGATGTGAGATTTTCTGCTCACGGGTCACCTTATTATGCGCCAGAAAAGATTAATACCAAAGTGGGCATGTCATACAAGGAGGTTTGTTTATTTATTTCGTTAAAACAATTTGTTAACACAAAATTAATTGCTCTATATTTTAAAACAGATTGAAGAAGAACTAGGTTTAAATATATTTATGATAAATATTGATGAATGTATGGAAGAGAAAGTTAATTGTGAATCAAGTTGTACTAATCACTTAGAGAAGTCAACTACACCTTATGTAGTTTATACAAATAAAACGAGCTTTGTTGGAGTATCTGCGATTGTGCGAGCTGATTGTACTTGTGCTGCGCCGCCTCTAGTAATTTGTCAGAATGGTGGAACTCCATTTGATAATTTCTGCGAATGTCCGGAAGGTCAGTATGCTATTAACAAACTATAAATATTGTGTTCCAAACAGAATGAAATTCTATATATATGTGCGAAAAAAAAATGCAGAAGAAATGTATGACTAAATAAGTGATCAAATAACATGTATCTTTTCTATTTTGTTTTACTTTTAATCATGTTTTTCTCTGCATTTTGGTTTTTCAACTCTTTGAATTATTTATACAATAATGCTCATTCTATGCATGCGAGCAAAGTTTACAATTAAGAAGTTATTGAACTTAATTTATGATATCTTATAATTTGTAGGTTTTGAGGGACCAGCATGTGAAATTATCTCAGTCGGTTTCACTGGAGATGGTTGGGCTTTATATCCTTCATTGAGTGCCTGTGAATCTTCTCACATTTCGTTAGAAGTTAATCCTTATCAAGAAGAAGGTCTGATACTGTTTGCTGGACCTATGCATCATAACAGCTTGTTTGCTGTTCAAGGTACTTTATCATTATTATACATCAATTGCTAATCATGTCATTTATTGTTTTCATTTTTTTTGTAGATTTTGTAGCACTTGAACTACATGAAGGCTATCCAGTTTTGCTTGTAGATTATGGAACAGGTTCTGTTCGTGTGGTGCATAGACATATTAAATTGACTGATGGGGCTAGTCATAGAATAGATATTACTCTTCAAAAATCTGTAAGTTAAACACACTAGTGCACACACATAAACATATAAATGTATACATTGTACATACTTTTTTTTTAAATCATTCAATCTTCTTTCGTATCTCGAAATTAAAATTCTATTATTTTGTACCAGCACTGTAGTTTTTGTTAATGTTTTTTAATATTAAAAATAAATTGACTATTCATTAATTTAATTATGGATTTTTCCTGTCCATTCATAATATTGCCGAAATGAGTTAGACATTTTTCATTAAACAACTTTCAAGCTCAAATTGTTGCAACTTTCTGGTTGTTTTTTTCCACATGGTGCTCTTTGTCAACTCTATTTTAAACACAGCAGCTACATATCTATGATATTTTTCAATTATTTCATGCTTTAGTTTGAGAAACGTGTTTCTTCCTTTTGTGAACTCAACATATGTAACTGTACAGTCACTATTTTTGTATGTATGGTCAAAAATTCAAACGTTAAAATAATCCTCGATATATTCGCGGGGGTAAATCGTTACTACACAATTAATATTGATATATAATTAAAATGACTAACTATAAAATGATTTACTATCATAAAACAGACAAAATATTTCTGGGATAGGAGAATTATTATTACAACTCACTAAATATTTCATATTTTCATTTTGTCATGGACATTTTTTGAGAAAACTTTTACTCATATGCTTACACAAAGCTCGTATATTGAAGTAACGAATAGTTGAATAAAGTCTTGATAACTTATCCGCTGATATCAAATATGTTTTTATATTCTTACATTTAATTGTTTTAGCTTATCGAAATGACAGTGGATAATTGTAAGCTGTCATCTTGCATGACAATCGCAGCACCTCAAGGTCCAAATGAAATTCTAAATGTGAATGCTCCGTTACAAATTGGTGGATCTCCAACAAATTTCAACTCCTTGGGTGCATTTTATAACTGGACTTATCACCCTACCAACATTGGATTCACTGGGTGTATAAAAAATTTTACATTTAATGGACAAGTAAGTTATAATAATTAAATTATTAAATATGTATACAAATAAATATATTTATATCACCCACTTAATTTTACTCATGATTGATTTGTAGACTTATAACTTGGGTATGCCAAGTTTGGCGCATAATGCAGATGCAGGTTGCCAAAGGTCATTTGCAAAAGCAGTTTCATTCGGAATAGATACAAACTTCTTAGTAGCAATACTTGTGTGCATTGCGATATTAGTCAGTAAGTAATTTAATTTTTTGATCATTGCATGTTTTTATATGCATATATTTTGTTCAATTAATTATAATTTAGGAAGATAAAATAATACAAACATTGTCAATGTAAGTTTAGACAACAAAAATTGTAACATTTATTGAAAATTATAAATAATTACAACTTAAGGCAAAGGTAGATTTTACTGAATCATTCAATATTGTAAAAATTCAATTGCATGACATACATAATGCAAAATAAAATTCATAATGTTTAATAATTTGTGATTCCCAACTCTGCCTAAGTTTACTTTTTGTTGCATTCAAATGAACTCTGTGTTCTTCTTGAGAAAACTTGAAGATGCAATATAATATAACATAGTCACATTTTCCCAGAATTTTTAACAAATTTAATGCTCATTTTATTACATTTGTAGTATTGCTTCTTGCTGTCGTGGTGCATCGACGAAAGCAAGATGGATGGCACGAAAAAGATTTTAGACGACATTCGGGAAAATATTATTAATTATGAAGATGAAGGTGGCGGTGAAGTAGACACAGGATATGATCTTAATGTCCTAAGGACGCTTTATGACGAATATCCCTTGGAAAAGGAACGCCTGGATGACGGACTCCAAAATAAAGGTAAATATTTAGACATATAATAAAATTTGATGGATTTATATATATATATATATATATATATATATATATATATATATTTAACTTTTCAAAGAATTTGTATTCCCCATTAAATACGAATTGATGATATGTAAAATACATTTTGAATAGTTTGAGACCAAAATTGGAAAAATTATTGATGTGTATAGGAGCCAAAATTTGATCCTTCATCGACGTTTTGTTTAAAACGACTGCACATATTTTAGAAATTTAATTACTATTCGATGAATTTCTATAAAGACCCGCGTTGATTAGTTTTGAAAGACGATTGGTCATGCTGCTCTTTTGAAATTAATTAATTAAATCTTTGTAAAAAAATTTTTTAGATACTGTTAACAAAGAATTGCTGAATGATGACGCACAATACGAGTCTAAACGTATATTTTAAATAAATATTTTGTATTTCTGTTTTTTTTTTATTTCGACGACAGGCTGAAAATCGTATATATATATATATATATATATATATATATATATATATATATATATGATTTAGTAGTTTAATTTTGATGTGAAATATATGAGTGAGTTTTGAGGGCGATACATCAAACAAAGAAACTCTTCTTCTTTGTTTGATGTATCGCCTCAAGAAACTCACTCATATATATATATTATATATATATATAAGGGAAGTCCGGAACATCAAATGTCCGGATTATGGGTAGACCGGATTATTAGAAGTCCGGATTATTGGAAATCCGGATTATTGGAAATCTGGATTATTGGAAGTCCGGATAATGGGAAGTCCGCAACATCAAAGGTCCGGATTATCGGAAGTCCGGAACATCAAATGTCCGGATTATCGGTAGACCGGATTATTAGATATACCATATATATATATATATATATATATATAATGGGAAGTCCGGAACATCAAGTCCGGATTATGGTAGTCGACCGATTATTAGAAGTCCGGATTATTGGAAATCCGGATTATTGGAATCTGGATTATTGGAAGTCCGGATAATGGGAAGTCCGCAACATCAAAGGTCCGGATTATCGGAAGTCCGGAACATCAAATGTCCGGATTATCGGTAGACCGGATTATTAGATATACCATATATATATATATTATATATATATATATATATATATATATATATATATATATATGGTAGTCTTGGATTTGTGTATATTTTGTAGAGTTTCGAACAAGAATCCAAAAAGTAATAAAAAACAAAAAAAAGTTTTTTTTTTTTTTTTTAAATAAACTATTTCTTTATTTATTTAGTTTACTGTCGACGTTTCGGAACTAGGTACGTTCCATCTTCAGGACATCTGTCAAGAAACATGATCTTGATGAGATTTAAGCAAACAATATGTTTCAGAAAAGAAAATGGATTTTTAAATAATAAATTAGTTGAAAAAATAATGTACAGAAATATGATAAAATGATCAAAATGAAAATGATAAAAATAAATGAGTGGATTATATAACAGGATTATATAACTTAAAAATGATAAAAAAAAATTTTTTTTTTGAAAGTTATGGAAAATTTTAAGAAAAGGTTAATGGCAAAATTGAATTAATTACCTGTATGTTTGAATATCCGTTAGCACTTTTTCACTAAACAAGATTTTAACAAAAATTAATTTTGTAAATCAAAATTACTATAAGTTTTGTCTTTTTTTTTAAATTATTATTTGAAAACCAAACAATATTATTCTCTCGATGTTATGAGATCGGCTGTTGGTGATAAACTAAAAACTGAGTAACGCGTACACGTGTAAACACTTGAGAACTGTGAGGTTGTGTGAGTGTGTTTTTATATGTTTGGATGTGAATACTTAAATTATTTATAATTTTTATTTATAATTTATATTTATAAAAAGTTTTTTTGTTTTTTATTACTTTTTGGATATATATATATATATATATATATATATATAAATATATATATTATCAATGTGTAACTAAAGAAAACTATTTTTTTAGCTTCATCAGAAGTTCCAGATATATGCGGTTTTCTTGATGACAAAAAGGAGGCATGTGACAAAGATACAGAAATAAATCCGTTTGATGATGTGCGCCATTACGCTTACGAAGGAGACGGAAATACCAGTGGTTCACTCTCTAGTCTTGCTTCATGTAATATGATCTTACTTACAGTTTTTTATTTTCTGTATATCAATATATAATATCATTGCATTACTTTTAATTTTAGGCACCGATGACGGTGATTTGAAGTTCAATTACTTATCGCATTTCGGACCTAGATTCCGAAAACTTGCTGATATGTATGGTGAAGAACCTTCAGATACGGATTCTCAAGATGGTGCAGAAGAATCATGGTGCTAAATTATATTAGTAGAATGACAATAAAGTGGCTAGTTGACAGGAACAATATAATGTAAATATATCAGATTATCAACTTCGTAGTCTATACATATGCATTATTGCAGTACAGTGCTATTTGTGTTGTATGTAGTATATTTTAGTAGAAATAAAAAAAATAATTTGTTATATTAAACTGAAAATGTATATCAACAGCAGGTTAATTTAAGACACTTTATATATATATATATATATATATATATATATATATATATATATATATATATATATATATATATATATAGTATGAATCATTAATTATTGAACTTTAAAATTAATTTAAGAGTAACTTATCTATTAATATTTTGATTATTTTATCTGAGTAATGTATGAGTTTCAACATGTGAATGAGTGGTTATGTATGAGTAAGAATGGCAGTTATGTATGATATTATGTTCTAATATGTATGTAATTATTTTAATTTTGGGTTTTTATTTGTATTCATATTCGTATATCACTGAAAATATGTATTATTGAAGAGCAAATCACACTAACTATATAGTACAATACAAATAGTGATGCAAAGAATGAATAGCATAATTTTATACTTCAAGTTCAAAAATGTATACAAAATAACAAGATTTAGAAATTAAATAACTATAGTCAATTAAGAATGTAGTGAAACTATATCAATGCATTGAAAGTTGCAGCTTGTGAAGAACTTGTAATACCAATTAATTTGGTTTTTATAAACTGATGTGCAGTATTGAACATTGAATGATAGAATAATTCAAAATCTTGTTATTAAAGGCATTACTTATTCTTTGCATCACTAAATAAAATAAATATGATAAAATTATGTGAGGCTGCCATTAAAATATTTATAAGAGTGATATTAAATTTAATTATAGCAAGGTATTTAAATGATATGTGTCCATAAAGAATATAACATTATATTTGTAAAAATCATTCCATATAGGTAATAGTATTAGAAGACTGATTTTTAGAAACAGTTTCTATTTTATTAATGATGAAAAAATTATGCTGTAACATTTTTATTGATAAATCAGTATTAAAAAATAATGTAAATATTTTATAATTTGAGTGTGGTTTTATTATAAATAATTCTCGAAATGTGATGAGCTTGTTACTCATTTAATGACAGTAATGCAACAGTAAATGTCCAGAAATCCATATGGTTTTAGTGAAATGGCAGGGAGCAGTCAGTTTCGTGTATTGCATGTGGTCACTTATATATACATATGTACTCTTCTTTTATCTATGCATATGCATATATAAGTAGACAACAATGCATGTTGAAGCATGCCTCGAGAATTATAGCCGATGTAGCTGAAACCTAAGGACTGTAAGAATTTTTTTTAAAGAAATTAGTCGTTATTGATATATTAGACTTTGTTAGTACTTATCTTAATATCAAATTCAGAATTATAAATATATATATGTATATATATATATATATATATATATATATATATACACCTAAGTCTGTTTTTACACGGTATTTTGGTTCCAGAAGAAGCCGTGTAAAAAAAAATGTGTAAAAAAAGACATTGATCTTATACAAAAATGGGTGATTTGTTCCTAATCTCTAAAACCTATTAAAATTAGTGAAAAACAAGAATTTTTAAGAACAAGAATTCATGTTTATTTTATTAAATCAAATATATAATGCTTATTTTCTATTAATACTAATGCTTAATTCTAAGCTAGTGTTCACAAACTATCAATACTATCGATGGTTTCACACTTTTTTCTTTCATAAATACTTTTTTGTGATATGAACATACTTCGCAAAAATTAAATTTGACAAAAAAAATTTAAGTACATAAAATTTCAAACCGTGCTGAATGGAATAAAATTGTGTAAAAAATTAAAAATATTCAATTTTCAAACCGTGTTATATCAAATCCGTGTACAAAAAGATCGTGTAAAACAGACTTAGGTGTATATATATATATATATATGTAGAGTTTCGAACAAGAATCCAAAAAGTAATAAAACAAAAAAAGTTTTTTAAATAAACTATTTCTTTATTCATTTATTTACTGTCGACGTTTCGGAACTAGGTACGTTCCATCTTCAGGACATCTGTCAAGAAAGATGATCTTGATAAGATTTAAGCAAACAATATGTTTAAGAAAAGCAAAAGATGGTGGATTTTTTTAAATAAAATGAATAAAATTCTTTTCCCAAAAAATTTTTTTCCCATAAATTGTTTTTTTCCAAAATTTTTTTGCCCAAAATTTTTTTTTACAAAATTTTTTTGACCAAAAATTTTTTTTTCTCCAAAATTTTTTTGATCAAAAATTCTTTTCCCCAAAAATTTTTTTCCCATAAATTGTTTTTTTCCAAAATTTTTTTGTCCAAAATTTTTTTTTCCAAAATTTTTTTGACCAAAAATTTTTTTTTCCAAAATTTTTTTGACCAATTTTTTTTTTCAAAATTTTTTTGACCAAAAATTTTTTTCTCAAAATTTTTTTCTCAAAATTTTTTTCTCAAAATTTTTTTCACAAATTTTTTTCGCATTATCAGGACTTCGCTTTATCCGGACTTCGGATTATCGGATTATCGGAATGATATTGAAATATCTGGACTTATCCGATTATCCGGACTTCCAATCATCCGGACATCCGATAATCCGGACGTTCGATTTTCCGGACTTCCGATTATCCGGACCATCAATTTTCGGGATTTTCGATTATCCGTACTTTCGATTATTCGGACTTTCAATTATCCGGACCTCCGATTGCACAGCTAAAAAGCGGAATTCAGCAGTGTACGATTAACATTGTGGTATTTAGTTATTGTTGAAAAACACAGTTAATATTTAGATATAACAAACTATCATATGGCCAAAAAAAAGTTGCATAGTCATGGCCTGTGTTGGCGTTATTGGTAGAGTTATGGCTTCGTATCAACAGGGTACCGAGTTCGAATCTTACCTCCAGCTATTAAACGTATTTATTTATTGTTGAATAACACAAAGTTAATATTTAGATATAACAAACTAACAAGTTATGAGGCCGAAAAAAAGCGTAATCGATGCGGCCTGTGTTGGCGTAATTGGTAGCACGATGGCTTCATACCCACAGGGTACCGGGTTCGATTCATACCTCCGGACACAAAATTGTGGACGAGGCATGCACGGAATCACATCCGGTCGAATTTATTGTTGAATAACACAAAGTTAATATTTAGATATAACAAACTAACAAGTTATAAGGCCGAAAAAAGCATAATCCATGCGGCCTGTGTTGGCGTAATTGGTAGCACGATGGCTTCATACCCACAGGGTACCGAGTTCGAATCATACCTCCGGACACAAAATTGCGGACGAGGCATGCACGGAATCACATCTAGTGGAATTTAGGGCACCAGGTATGCTTCCCATAATCCGGACCTTCGATTGTCCTGACGTCCGATTATCCGGACTTCGGAATATCGGATTATCCGCACTTTGGAACATCCGGACGTCGGATTATCCGGACTTCCGATCATCCGGACTTCCGATAATCCAGACCTTTGATGTTGCGGACTTTTGATAATCCGGATCTTTGATGTTGCGGACTTCCGATAATCCGGACCTTTGATTATCCGGACTTCCGATAATCCGAATTTCCGATAATCCGGACTTCGGAATATCGGATTATCCGCACTTTGGAACATCCGGACGTCGGATTATCCGGACTTCTGATAATCCGAACCTTTGATGTTGCGGACTTTCGATAATCCGGACCATTGATGTTGCGGACCTTTGATTGTCCGAACTTCCGATAATCCGGACTTCTAATAATCCGGACTTCCGATAATCCGGACATTTGATGTTCCGGACTTCCGATAATCCGGACCTTTGATGTTGCGGACTTCCCATTATCCGGACTTTCGATAATCCGGTTACATAGCAACGGTTGCTAGGCAACGGCAACTACGGACTTCCGATAATCCGGTTACATAGCAACGGTTGCTAGGCCGTTGCGTAATTTTTGGTCGAAAAATTAGTGGTTAACGGTTGCTAGGCAACGGTAATTAGGCGACAGTTGCAAACATTTTTTTTTAATTGTTGTTAACGTTGACGACGGTTGCTAGGTAACGGTTGCTATGTCCATATTGGGGCTTTAAAAAACTTAGAAAAAATATTGCCTAGCAACCGTTGCTATGTAACCGTTGTTATTAATAACAAAATTAAAAAAAATGTTCGCAACCGTTGCCTAGCAACCGTAATTTTGGGTCGAAAAATTAGCGGTTAACGGTTGCTAGGCAACGGTAACTAGGCGACGGTTGCAAACATTTTTTTTAATTGTTGTTAACGTTGACGACGGTTGCTAGGTAACGGTTGCTATGTCCATATTGGGGCTTTAAAAAACTTAGAAAAAATATTGCCTAGCAACCGTTGCTATGTAACCGTTGTTATTAATAACAAAATTAAAAAAAATGTTCGCAACCGTTGCCTAGTTACCGTTGCCTAGCAACCGTTAACCGCTAATTTTTCGACCAAAAATCACGCAACGGCCTAGCAACCGTTGCTATGTAACCGGATTATTGGAAGTCCGTAGTTGCCGTTGCCTAGCAACCGTTGCTATGTAACCGGATTATCGAAAGTCCGGATAATGGGAAGTCCGCAACATCAAAGGTCCGGATTATCGGAAGTCCGGAACATCAAATGTTCGGATTATCGGAAGTCCGGATTATTAGAAGTCCGGATTATCGGAAGTTCGGACAATCAAAGGTCCGCAACATCAAAGGTCCGGATTAACGGAAGTCCGCAACATCAATGGTCCGGATTATCGAAAGTCCGCATCATCAAAGGTTCGGATTATCGGAAGTCCGGATAATCCGACGTCCGGATGTTCCAAAGGGCGGATAATCCGATATTCCGAAGTCCGGAACATCAAAGGTTCGGATTATCGGAGGTCCAGATGGTATGAAGTCCGGATAACCCGATAATTCAAAGTCCGGATAATGCGAAGTCCGGATAATCGGACGTCCGGACAATCGAAGGTCCGGATTATCGGAAGCATACCTGGTGTCCTAAATTCGACCGGGTGTGATTCCGTGCACGCCTCGTCCACAATTTAGTGTCCGGAGGTATGAATCGAACTTGGTACCCTGTGGGTATGAAGCCATCGTGCTACCAATTACGCCAACACAGGCCACATGGATTATGCTTTTTTTCGCCCTCATAACTTGTTAGTTTGTTATATCTAAATATTAACTTTGTGTTAATCAACAATAAATTCGACCGGATGTGATTCCGCGCATGCCTCGTCCACAATTTTGTGTCCGGAGGTATGAATCGAACCCGGTACCCTGTGGGTATGAAGCCATCGTGCTACCAATTACGCCAACACAGGCCACATGGATTATGCTTTTTTTCGGCCTCATAACTTGTTAGTTTGTTATATCTAAATATTAACTTTGTGTTATTCAACAATAAATTCGACCGGAAGTGATTCCGTGCATGCCTCGTCCACAATTTTGTGTCCGGAGGTATGAATCGAACTCGGTTCCCTGTGGGTATGGAGCCATCGTGCTACCAATTACGCCAACACAGGCCGCATGGATTACGCTTTTTTTTCGGCCTTATAACTTGTTAGTTTGTTATATCTAAATATTAACTTTGTGTTATTCAACAATAAATTCGACCGGATGTGATTCCGTGCATGCCTCGTCCACAATTTTGTGTCCGGAGGTATGAATCGAACCCGGTACCCTGTGGGTATGAAGCCATCGTGCTACCAATTACGCCAACACAGGCCGCATGGATTACGCTTTTTTTCGGCCTCATAACTTGTTAGTTTGTTATATCTAAATATTAACTTTGTGTTATTCAACAATAAATAAATACCACAACGTTAGGCTCACTGCTGAATTCCGTTTAATAGCTGGAGGTAAGATTCGAACTCGGTACCCTGTTGATACGAAGCCATAACTCTACCAATAACGCCAACACAGGCCATGACTATGCAACTTTTTTTTGGCCATATGATAGTTTGTTATATGTAAATATTAACTGTGTTTTTCAACAATAACTAAATACCACAATGTTAATCGTACACTGCTGAATTCCGCTTTTTAGCTGTGCAATCGGAGGTCCGGATAATTGAAAGTCCGAATAATCGAAAGTACGGATAATCGAAAATCCCGAAAATTGATGGTCCGGATAATCGGAAGTCCGGAAAATCGAATGTCCGGATTATCGGATGTCCGGATGATTGGAAGTCTGGATAATCGGAAGTCCAGATATTCCAATATCATTCCGATAATCCGAAGTCCGGATAAAGCGAAGTCCTGATAATGCGAAAAAAATTTGTGAAAAAAATTTTGAGAAAAAAATTTTTGGTCAAAAAAATTATGGAAAAAAAAATTGGTCAAAAAATTTTGGAAAAAAAAAATTTTTGGTCAAAAAAATTTTGGAAAAAAACAATTTATGGGAAAAAAATTTTTTGGAAAAAGAATTTTTGATCAAAAAAATTTTGGAAAAAAAAATTTTTGGTCAAAAAAATTTCGGGAAAAAAATTTTTGGTCAAAAAACTTTTGGGAAAAAAAAATTTGGAAAAAAATTTATGGTCAAAAAAATTTTGGGAAAAAAATTTTTGGTCAAAAAAATTTTGGGAAAAAAAATGGTCAAAAAAATTTGGAAAAAAAAATTTTTGGTCAAAAAAATTTTGGAAAAAAAAATTTTGGGCAAAAAAATTTTGGAAAAAAACAATTTATGGAAAAAAATTTTTGGGGAAAAGAATTTTTGATCAAAAAAATTTTGAGAAAAAAAAATTTTTGGTCAAAAAAATTTTGGAAAAAAAAATTTTGGGCAAAAAAATTTTGGAAAAAAACAATTTATGGGAAAAAATTTTTTGAGAAAAGAATTTTATTCATTTTATAAAAAAAAATCCACCATCTTTTGCTTTTCTTAAACATATTGTTTGCTTAAATCTTATCAAGATCATGTTTCTTGACAGATGTCCTGAAGATGGAACGTACCTAGTTCCGAAACGTCGACAGTAAACAAATAATTAAATAAAGAAATTGTTTATTAAAAATTTTTCTTGTTTTTTTATTTTTTATTATTTTTGGATTCTTGTTCGAAACTCTACAATATATATATATATATATATATATATATATAAATATATGTGTATATGTATATATATGTGTATTTATATATGTATATGTATGTGTGGGTATATAGGTATTTGTATATGTGATGTTTTGTACTATGGGTATGCATTTATATAATAATAATAATGGGTAGTGCTGCCCTAGGGCATATATGCATTTGTATATATAAGTATATATATATATATATATATATATATATATATATATATATAGTACATATATTTTTAATTATAATAATTTAAAACAAATTTTATGAACAAACCGTCTTATTTCATAGAATATTTTTTCTCCTAACGACATCTATTTTTCAACTGAACCCTAATCCTTCCTTTCCGATCTGATATTGCGTGACTTGAAATTGATTTTAAATTTTAAATTATAACACACTGATGATGAGACAAACCTAGTCTCGAAACGTTTGTGAAAATTATTATTTAATAAATTTGTGCAAAAAAGAGTGTTGTTTGTTCATATTTCCAAATTAATATCTATTTATCCACTCAGAATACACACACACACACACACACACACATATATATATATATATATATATATATATATATTATATAAAACTATAAACTGAAAGATACCTGAAAAATAAACTAACATATAAACTAAAATATTATTATATGGTTTGAAAAAATTTATTTAATTAATATACACGTATAAAATTAAAATAATAAAAGTTATTAATTCTGTCAGGATTAATTTTATAATCCAATATAAATGATAAGTTACAAAAATCAATCAATTTTTCCTAACAATAAATATAGTCAATTATATAAGTCATCACATTCATTTAAATTATAGATCATACTTATAAGTATGATTGCAATTGCTGTGCTGTGAAATTAGTTACATTTAAAAATTGTTATCATACAACTCAATAAACTCAATTTTAATATTCACACTGAGAAAACATCAGGTTTACGATTTTTATTACACATAGCTTATTAGCACAATTATTCAAAAAAATCGAACACAAATATTTAAAATAATAGATTGAATCATTTACACATTCTTCGATCATATAAATTCAAAATGCACTCATCAAAATCAATTTCTTAATTAAATAAATAGTCAACACGTTTAAATATTACAACTGTGTTTATAAATTAACATATAAATAAGAGGAATAAATTAACAAATGAATACATATCATTCATCTAAAAATCTCACATGTATAAAGTTTCACATAAAAAAATATTTAGACGTAAACAACAGTTTACATCATTTCAAAACTTGGTTCGAGCATCTTTCAACACGTGTAGTTTCGTCCATAAATTTTTCTATGCGTTATTGCACTAATTACATATTACATATCACGATATTGTTAACAATTATTTAAAACGTATTCGTTGACAGGCAAAAATGGTTTTACAGTATCGACAAACGCCTCTCCTAAATAAATTCTTATACTGGGAGGAAGCATAAGATCTTCAATATCTCGTTTATTTTTCAGTCGTTTAACGATTTCAGCTCGACATCGGTCTTGGAGATTAACGAAGTCCCTACGCATTTCCGTGAGACTCATTTCAGTCTTAGCAGCCGTAGAACAAACAATTGGATACAGGGGTTCTTGGATTTCATTTAGGCCTTTGAAAGCAACTCCCAAACAAACTCCATCTTTATAATAGGTCAAAGTACCAGCTATCCCGTCAAACAGAACTCCGACGCTTGTAGCTTCGTTTTCTTTAAAAGGTTTTGTATAATGATTCCATTTGCCTGCATGCCACAGAAGGCCTTTGTGAGACATCCCCCAGCCGTGCTCGTCCTCCCCTAACAGATTCATGAAAGCATCGGCGTGCAATCGAGCCTTTTTCGTTCCTATTCCGAACATCATACTGGTACCAAAAATCCTTTGAGATACACGAAGCTCCCAATAATATCTTCCATTGTTTAAAATTCTATTACCTCTAACTCCTGCAGTGCCACTGCTCCAGTTCGGATGAAAATAAGCTACGCTCATACCTGGGCCATACAATCTCACTTCTGGACTTCTATCCCTTCGGTTCCAGCACCAGGAATCGGCGCAACCATGTCGCAAGGGTACCGAATGCATTTCGAAAATATCACTTCAATATAAACTTATGCGTATATTTTTATCACAAAAATCACACATCTTGCTAAGCCCCAAGACACATAGTTGAATAAATGCAGTTTTATCACTCAATGATAATTAATAATTGTCTACATATTTTTTCTTTCTAAATTAATTTAATGTTTAAATTTTACAAGCTCAGTTTCTTGCGTGTTGATAACAAACCTATTGTTGTAGTGCAATAACGTGCTGTGAGCATTTCTATATTTTTATCGAGTGGATCAATATCGGCCGAGTCTGCGCCCTAACAACCCCTTGGAGATATACCCCAACACGTGATTTCGAGCTTGTCAAGTCTTCCTCAATTGCAATCGCTTCGCAATAATAATCAACGCAGATAAATTAGTTAGCAACAATTTAATCAAAAATTTATTACAATCAATAAATTTGCATTTGTTTTTTCGTGTTCGATGACTTATTGATTTATTGAAAAATCATATGCCTCCCCTATTATTTTCTTTTGTTACTTTTACTTTCAGCAATCAGATTATAACATAATAATAAAAGTTGAAAGTGAGGGTATTGAAAATCAAATCAAATAAAAAGGAAGAAAAAAATATAATAGCAAAACGCAGTGACAATATAAATAACATCTTTCAATTATTATTTTATATAAAAATTATGCTAATAAATGTGCAACTAGGATTTTTTATAACAAAAATGTCACAATTAAGTGATATTCAGTAATTATATATTCCTTAAATATAAGATATATTATGTATATAAGACTTATTATGTAAATAATAAGTTATAAACAATTATTTTATTAATGACATTATTCTTGATTAATTAAAATATTTTTGTTTAATTTAAACTAATTTTTGTAAAATTCTATAAAAATACTAAATTGCATAAATAGTTTACGCATATGAATTTAAAAACTAATTGAAGGGTGAAAAATAGTGAATTACTATTAGGGGAACGATAGAGCAACGTACAGTACGACGATTACTCCATAGGCAATAGAAGTAAAACTAGTGGGGCGCATGGCATCGTGTCTTAAGGCAAATTGCTGGAACTTTCAGAACCAAAAATTTTTTTTAAAAAAGATTAACATTTTTGAAAAAATTTGATTTTTGAGAAACTATAAAATTTTGACAAAACTTTACTTTTTTTTGAAAAAAAAAAGACTGAAAAAAATGTTTTAATATTTTGGAAATTCTGAACTTTTTTTCAAATCAATCATACTGCTTTAACTGCATAGAGAATTAGAGACGAAATATCGAAGCGCGTAAGCGCCGCGTCGACGTTTAACTGATAAACATTGGTACGGAACCCATAGGAATGTAAACAAAATTTATACCTATTGTTAAAATCTCTATAAAATATCTGATAATTTGATGTGCATATATCTAATGATCATTTTTGATCGCCAAATGGCATTTTTTTTAAATTTTCTTTACTAGATCACTGAAACCGCTAGACCTGCCTTAATGAAAATTTAATCAGTTGTTCATCTTATCAATAAAAGTAAAATGTTTTTTGAATTATTAAAATCGGACGCTCCGTTCTCTTAAAAACTGAGTTACCATTTGTGGCACTTTTTGCCCCGTATTTTCGAAACGGCTAGACCTGCTTATGCCAAAAACTAATCAGCACGTCTCCTTATCAACAGCAATCGAATGTTTTTTGAATAATTGAAATCGGTTGAACCGTGTTCTCGAAATCGTCGACGAAAATTTGTATCCGCACACATGCATCCATTTTTTTATAATAATAAGGTAAACCAAAATGTTCAGAAACCTCTAAAACGTAAAAATATATAAAAACTTTCATTTTCGATTTTTTGCGATTACTATTACTTCACTTACCCTACGGGGAGTTGATAAAATCATATCATCAAAATCAATAATCAAAATAAAATTTTAAAAATCTATATTTAGTATTATTATAAATATATACTTTCAATAAAACTAACTTGTAATATTTAATATAAATTTTAATCACATTACATTTTCAATAAAAAAGACGCGTGAAAATTAATATAACGTATAAACCTATTATATTTTCTATAAGTTATCAAATGTTTTCGATAATAAACCTTTTATATTATCACATCGTATTGCGTAGGTTAGTGTCGAAATAGATAAATTGGATATTATTGATTATAACAATGTGGTAAGAATATTTTGTACATATAAATAATAATAAATTTGAAGAACAGAATGTGTATCAAATATTTCTCTTAATAACTAGATTCATACAATTTGAAGTTTAAATGTATCTTTAAATTCTAGTGGCGTATCAACTATAAGGTCCCTCCGGCCACGGAGACACCCAATGAAATTTTTTTTTATGTTTGTGAAGAATCCTAACCCTTCCTAAGGGCCCAATTTTATATTAATTACAATAATATATTAAAATAAGGGTCGATTTATAAAAGTTTTGTATTATTGTTAAATGTGGTACTAAACTTATTACCGACTAATTTTAATATAGGATCTGTTTTATTTAAGATATTTCATAATAGTTCTCATTAAATGTATAAAAAATATTTTTAACTTCCCGTAGGGTAGTTATAGTAATGAACCAAAAATATAAAATGAAAATATTTGCATTTCTCCACGTTTTAAAGGTTTCTGAACATTTTAGAATACCTCAGAAAAAATAGATGTGTGTGTGTGTTCGCATTTTTTCGTTCACGTTTTCGAGCGGACGGATCAACCAATTTGAATTTGAACCATTCAAACCGACATTTCAAATCCGAAAACATTCGATTCCTATTGATAGGGAGATGTGCTGGTTAGTTTTTGTCAAAGGCAGGTCCAGCCGTTACGAAGATGTGTAAGAGTGCAGAAATTAAAATCGAGTTCTTGAGAGAACGGAGCATCCGATTTGAATGATCTAAAAAACATTCCATTTGTAATGACGGGGAGAAGGGGTAATTAGTTTTTAGTAAAGGCATGTCCAACTATTTAGAAGATACAGACCTAAATGTACAAAAAATGGCAGTATTTGAGAGAAATAAGCACTCGATTTGAGTGATTCAAAAAACTGCTTGTGTTTACGAAATAATTGCTTTTGGAAAAAAAATTCCATTTCAATTTTTTTTTGAATATCGAAAATAATACGGATTTCAATTTAAATTATGGTGAAAGCTCATTTATATACTTTAAGTCAATAACTTTAATTAGATAAATAAAAATTTAATATATATTAGACGATATTACAGAATTTATAAAAATCTGTTTGAAAACATTTAATATTCCTCGAACATTTCGTTACGATATGAGAAGTTCCAGCGATTTGCCTTAAGGCACAATGCCATACACCCACTACTATAATATAGTCAATTATAGTTTTAGATCAATTATGTTGAGGCTAAAGTAATGATTTGTAATAATGTTTTGCTTCCTTATCAAAACGGCAAAAACTTTGTTAAAAATAATCCATGAATAGATATCTTTGAATATTTGATCAAAATAAAACGGCAAAAACTTTGTTACAAATAATCCATGGATAAATGAATATTTGGTAAAAAATAAAACGGAAAATTATTTATTTCCCGAAAAATGCTTTTCAAAATCTTAATTTATAATAGATCTCCATTTTTTACTTTTAATATCTATTTTAAAAAAATTATCCGAAATGATTCAATACTTATATCAAATTTCAATATTTGATTTGCTCTGAGCACAATATTTAAATTTTTGATTTTGTTATTTTCTTGTCGAGCTTTCAAAGCTTCTTTTAGATTTCAGGAATAAAAGCTAAATATTCTTAAGGTTATAAAGCGGCTATTACAATACTAAAATTTAGTATTAAAAAAACTGGCATATAATTTTCCAATATAACAAAGACTAACAATTTGGTATTTAATAAAAACTGATATTTCACAACAAATGATTCTTTTAGTATGGAGCATTCAGTTGATATGAAGAATGGGTTAATCAAAAATCTGGGTCCTTATCTTAAACCACAAACAATATTGAAATAAAAATGGCTAATAATTATTTTCGTAACAAATGATATTTATTAAAACGTTAATTTGTAAAAAGTACATATTTTCATTACATGTCGTCTGTCTCAATACCTTTGGTGTACCTACATACAATGTTATTGACTACATAGTTTTTACGCATTTTTTTCAACATATATAAAAATAATTCATACAGGGCGAAACATAACTTCTTATGACACTTTTAATTTATTTATGTTTTGAAAATGTCATAAATATATAAAATATATCATTAACATTACACATTGCTTATAATTATTTCACGATTAATAAAGCATCTATACATTTTATTTAATAATGTATTCATAATCGTAAATAATTATTGTAATATACTATTTTTTGTGAATATAAACTAGTTTAAGCAAATAAATAGAGAAGGGTACTTGTGTATTTTTTGTTAGATAAAATGTTATGAACAAAACCGTGATATTATACAATAAAGTCACCTAATATTGATAAAATATTAAAAAAAGTATGTGTAATTAATATCAGTATCAAAATAAACACACATATTGACTGTACTTTCACAAAAATTTGTAGATATATAAAATGTATGTTCCATAATGACTACTGGACACCAAAATATATTTGCAGAGCTGCTTGCTTTATCACTTGAAATATATAAATGCAATAACAAAAAATATATAAAATTATGTGTTATTATTATATAGTTTTGATCTGCTCTATGATAATGTATTAAACCCCATGTACTATAACACAAAACATTAACGTATACCATTATACACGGGTAAATACAATGAGTTTTATGGCACAATATATATGTAAAATAGCTATTATTAGTATTTAATATAAAACTAGCTCCAAACGCCTATAATCAAGAAGCAGGATAAGTACTAGAATAATATGGCAATAAAATAATTGTTGAAATAGATAAAATAGATAAAACGAATGTGATCTTTTGGAAATTACGAGCATAAAATCACAGTTCAAAACCTATAACTGATTTTTAGACATAATTATTTTACTTTGAAAATATATTTTATGTAAATCTGCAATTGAGTGATATAAATCAAACGTAAGGAACCCATTGTACTATGTGTCTCTCAGTTGAGAATAACAAGATTTATATGACTGGCATTTAGAAACTAATTGCAACTGTATATTTAATTTATATATAAAATTTTAAAACATGATTAGCTTTTCGAATGCTAATACATTAAGTTTTTGCAAATACATAAATTAAAATAATTTAAAATAAATTTTCCAAAAATGAGAGATCCTCAACTGGCGATGAAAAAGCAACTTCTTTAAGAAATATTAGAACTGATTGCAGAAATATATATGTATATATATATATATATATATATATATATAATATATATATGTATATATATAAATATATATATACAACAAGGTAAAATTTTTCCTTACTAAAAGTGATGTGAAATTATATTTTTATGTATTAATCACGCTTAAATGTGTTTAGCATTGTTCACCATAATTTTGAATAAACTCATAATACAAAATTCTATGTTTTAGGCCAAATTATGTCACTAATTATTTTATTAAAACATCATGGAATGTCTACTTCACAAAATTTAGACGTTAGAATAATCACATTATTATTATAAACTCTAATTTCGCCATAAAATGTAGAGTATAAGAAACTACTTATTTACAATCACCTCAAAACATTATGATTATGCCACTATGCCAATTAAATATATTTATGTACAATTGTTAATTATATGGTATGAAATTCTTAAACATTAAACATGTATTAAAGTATGGTGTATGCTGGATGATATGTTTTTAATTATTACTATTATTCAGGAAGAAATACTTTATTAGAATTAGGGTATTTCGCTTATTATTCTCATCGTAAAATATTTTATTGAAAAGAAAATAAATGAAGCTGTATAGCAATTACAATTGTATAAATGGGAAACTATGGACTATTTTTTGAATAGCTCACAACCATAAATTCGTGAACAGAACTTTTGCATAAATTTGTCATTATTGTCTTAGCAATATGATTATTTTGTTTCAACGATAGCAAAAATAAGATGTTTTACTAAACTGACATGTAAAAACAAATTCACAGATATTATAAAGAAGCATATTTCCTATATAGTTTTGCAATGTTGATAGTCTGATATATATATGTATATATATATATATATATATATATATATATATATATATATATATATAAAGTAATTCTTCCCGACAGCAACCCTTAATACAATTTGACAGAGCTTACTCTTTATATTTCAGTATAGCTATTTATAAAATGATATGCTGCACAAACGATTAAATTTTTTCTATATATAAAGATTAAAATATAAATAAATAATATAAATGCAAATAATTTAACTCTAATTTTTTTTTTAAATTACATTTTTATACAAAATATTAAAACTAAATTTAGAATTTATTTTATTAAAATTATTCAAATATTACTTGTTACAAAACTAAAATTTGAATATAAGGAGTATAAGGATTTTCAAACAGTCTTTATTAAATCTTTGTCCATTTATTAAGTATATATATATATATATATATATATATATATATATATATATAACAAAAGATTATATTAAATCCAATATTTATAAACAAGTGGTAAAATTGCATATAGTGTTATTGTTACTAAGACTTTGTTTAATTCATGATTCGTTATAATCTTCAATCTTCAATTTAATTTATTATCATTATTTATTTTGTATATATTGGTTTATTTATTAGCAAAGCTGCCTATTAGCGTCGGACTTGTGATGATTTTTTTAAAAAAACTTATATTAAGCTTCAATATGTACATTTTACTAGTTCTATGGCAGTTATAGAAGTATAGAGTTGTATAAAAAGCAATAAATCAGTACTAGAATCATACACTGGGATTAGTTCGATATTATATGGTCGATGATATATGGTTTTCTACTAAGTATAAGGAATAATAAAAAAGAATATTTGGGCATTGAAATTGGCATTATTTAATTTCAGAACCATACCATGAAATTATTTCTAAAGAAATCTTTTATGGTAATAAAAGACTTATTTTATGATAAAAATTTTGTATAAATTAATTGCTTTATTATGTTTTAATAATTTCGTTTGTAGAATTTTATTGAACAATCATGCAAAAAAATCGCACCTTTTGCTTGGGACAAATTATTTCAAAGAATTACAAAATTAAATAAAGTCATCTTTACCAAATTTAATTAAAATCTATTTCTTATATAATTCTATTCACCGTTTTACAAGCCAAATTCATTATCACACTTGAAAGAAAAAAAAAAACAAAATATTTTACCATTTATCTCAACTTTTTGTTCTATCAAGTTATTAAGTTAATCAGGTAAGTGAAGTATCATATAAAGAAATAATTTCGCAGTTATTGGGACAATGAAAAAAAAATTCAAAATAAATAAGTAAATTTGGGTCACCAGATTGCACTTGGAAAAAATAATAAAGAAATCTACTACAGTTCAAGTTCGGACGAATTTTCGTTTTATTATATTGGCCATGAAGGTGACAATCTTCATGGTATTGAGCTTTTACACGGGATGGTTGCTGCCCCTGGCAGAGGGGATAGTGGAGTTTTAATGGGACTGTGTAAAAGCTGAATACCACAAAGATTGTCACCTTCATGGCCAATATAATAAAACGTCCAAACATTGAAAAAAAGCGTAGAAAAGAATTTCTTGAATATTACAAATACTTAGTAGAAAACATATTATATGGAATATTTTATTCATGTCTTATAAATATTGACTATAAAGTTTCTCATCAAATGTTCTTTGTATCATCTCACCTCGCTATTAGTTCCTGCACTTGTCTCTATCGCTAACTGCCGACTAATTCGATCTGCCGGTATTTTTTTGCGTAGATTTGAAACAGGGTCCTTAAAAAGCACAGGATCCAGACGAAGACTAGAACGAAGTAATGGCATGTAACCAAACACCGCAGCGAACGTGTTCAAACAGCTCTGACGCTGAATGAAATGATCGGGATCGTTCCATGGGGACCTTGAGTGAAAAATAGTAAGTTAAGTTTATTATACATATAGTTTAATGAACACGTGTTGTTAAATAATAAGAAAATTAAAATCCAAGTTCAAGTTCTCGATTCAAAGTTATTAGATCATGGTACCATAATATGTTGTTACATTACAGTGTGATATAGATATTCAATATAACAAATTAATTTGTTAAAAGCTTTTCAGAGAAAATACAATATTAAAGTGACACGATAAACTAGAGAAGAATGTATATACCTTAAATGCCCAATACAATATTTCAGTAAACACTAATGGACCGATTCTGCACGTCTCCTTATCAATATGAATCGAATGTTTTTTTGAATTATTCAAATCGGTTGATCCGCGTTCCCGAAATCGTCGACGAAAATTTTTATCCGCACACACACACACATACATCCATTTTTTCTAAGGTATGAATGTTAGAAACCTTTGAAACGTAAAAATTTATAAACATTTTCATTTTCGATTTTTTTGCAGTTGCTATAACTTACCTATGAGAAATTAAAAAAATCTAATTATTCTCTTATTATTACCTGTAATAAATAAAAATGGAAGATATTTTATATAATATTAATTATATCCTGATCTTCAAGACTATCCGAGAAAATATGTAACACATTATTTTAGTTTACTTCAGTTTTTATTAGTTGAAGATAACATAAGAACTTATGTCGAAATGTATGGAAATAATAAAAATTGTATAAAATATCTTCCTTTTTTAGTTTATGTACATAAATATAAATACTTTGGTTCACATATTACTCTGTCTGTCCATGAGTAATATAAAAAATCAAGCCCGAAAAATTATCCTTGAATGACTGTTTTAAGTAGTAATTTATAGTTTATTAAATCTTTAATATTTTAGTTTTTATTTAGTGTTATATACTTGTAATTTATATTAAGTGTTATGTATATATACAAAGCTATATATTAACTATTAATACTCTAATTTTGTCATATATTATCTTTAGTTTATAATTTGTTCACTTTAAAATATAATTATATTGTATTATTGCTATAGGCAATTAATAAATAAATAAATAAATGACATATATACATATATATATGTTTAATGTTCCAGCACATCTAGATTATTAATCAATAAGTCTTAAACTTTCACTTATTGAATAATATCATTATTATTATTATATTTCAAACTGTCAAATCAACTTTATTCTTTGAAAACGGTTGCTATAACATTACAAATAATGATTTAATTATTTGTTAATAGACTATCAATTACAAATTAGCAATTTCAAATATATACATTAATCATTAAATCTTTTAAAAGTTACCAACAAAATGCAGACAGTATTATATTTATATTTTCGTTAAAAAGTTTTCAATTATATATATATATATACATATATATATATATATATTATATATATATATATATAACAAATGTTCTATTTTATAATATGAAATTAAATTTATACCTTGCGCCTCCAGCTGGAGCCTCCTTGTACTGTTTACGCTGCGTCACTTTGATAGGTGGTCTTCTGGTGACATGAGCTACCAAAAAATTCATCAGTATGTCCTCACAATTATCGCTTTGCTCTACAGTTTTGTGAAGAAGAGGACTTAACCAACGCGTATATAATTCATTGTAATATCTATGATAAAAAGCAGCCCCAGTTAATACTATTGAATACTCGTTGGTCCATTTGGATGTATAACCCCATGTACTCTGTAGAATTAATTTTATATAATGACAATGTTTACATTTAATACAATTTTCAGGTATTTATAATAGTTAACATACCTTGGCATCATCCCAATAATGAGCACGGGCAGGATATCCAACTATCCTATCTGGAAAATTTCTCCAAACAGAAAATGCAAAATCTACTTCATCAGTTGTTAAAAGGGCATCTTCATCTAATGATAAAATTGCGTCAGTCGTTATCAAAGGATGTGGTAAGAAACGCCTCGATATACCTCCACTACCACCGCTAAAAATATATAAAATTAATATATAATAAAATCTTAAATAGGATAACTAGAGTGCATTATTATCTAGTTTAAAATGACTAAAAGTTAAAAATGTTTTATCTTGAAATATAAATTAGTTTGTTGTTACAAATTAGATTACAAAAATGTATAGAAGTTCGTGATCCACCGAGATGCTGCCGAACTATCTTAAAAATTACACTTTTTGATTGATGATATATTTAGATAAGGGCTATATCAGACTGATTACAAGATAAGTAGTTTAATTGTTGTAGATTTAAATGAAATAATATGATATTAATATTTATAGATGATATGTTACTAAGTTGAAGTTTGAATTATTACTAATGTTTGTTAGATGAAATTTTAGATATTACTCCCTTTGTGTGTTGATTTAAGACTGATGTTAGTTAGATGAAATTTTAGTTATTACTAAATTACAAAAATTTTACGATTTTATATATTTTTCTGATTGGTTCGTCTTTGTGGGTTCAATTTTATTAATAACATCAATTTTATTTACCTGATATCATCTGAATAAATAAGGGTAACAGGAGCTTGTAAAATATTTAGTGGTACAGATGTCGGCGTTGGAGGCCATCGATTTCTAGCAGGTGGACTTTTTTCATTTGCCCAGACTATAATAATCTGAAAAATATTATAAACATAATTTTTGAGTAAAATAGCAACTTAATAACGTTTATAGATGCTAAAATTAATGTTCATTATTGCTTATCTTTAAAATAAATCTAATTAAGGTAAATATACAATATTAATTTCCATTGCTACATAACAAAGGTAAAACGCAAAATAAATATTTACCAATATAATTAACAGGTCTGATTAGAAAAATACACACTGCGTTTCTCAAATTGTAAATACGCGTGAATCAAATAAATAATTTCACCTAAACATGTAAAATATATTGAATATTTATCATACTGATTATATTGGCTCTTAGTTGGCTTTTAAACTATCGAATGGCAATAACAATTCTATTACAAATATTTGATATATATATGAATAAATTCTCTGATATAAATATATATACGAAAGTGATACATCAATAAAAAGTCGATTTATAGAATAATCTTTAATGATTAAAAGGTTTTGACATATCATCAGTGGATATTAGATATTGGAGTCTCACATCAATATATATGCACTGTATAATCATAATTAATATACATTTTATTGATATTAACCTCGCTTCAAATGCAAATTACATGTAAATAAAAAATCTCATCTTTCATATATATTCCTGTTTTGCATTACATTGTTTTTTGACAATTATTAATGTATTTAAAATATTTTATTTCTTTTGAGAAGTTAGCGTTATGAATTTTAATGCTAATTATATGTACGATGCACATATATTGAAGTAATATTCCAATGTCTAGACCTAGGTAATATACAACATACCCTCTGCACACTTTTGCTTCGAGCAACATTTCGAATAAGCCGCTGAAGAACGGAAGCTGGTGCACCACCAGTAACAGCACCAAGCTGACAATAAATGACTGCTGTGAATCCCGCGCTTGGTGAAGCTCCTAAAGCGTCCAGGTAAAATGGATATCGTGCCCACGAATCTGAGAATCTGGTTAAAGTCAAAAGTGCGCCAGGATTCGTATTCCATACCAGACCCGATCGAACAGGCTCTCCTGGTAAACGCTCGCGGATTATCTATAATAAAAGTAATATAAGTTGTAATAGTTGATTAAATTTTAGGTTTAAGTTTATGGTAATTTTAGAATATTTAATTGTTTTCTTCCCTTTTGTTTACAGTGTTTTTTAATTAGCTCTAGTAGATATGCCACTAAGGATATCTACTAATTTGTAATCAACTATTTTACCATATACTTGTCAGCATCCTCTGCAATGTAATAATATATACAGATTGCAGAATAAAATTGAATAAAAATAAAGTTTATGATAAAGTAAATAAAGAAATTCAATGTTGGTTAAACTTGAGAACAGATATATAAGCGTGGTAAATAAATTAAAGAAAATCACTTCATATAATTGTAAAAATTGTTACTTTCAGTACTATAATCAGCTATATTACACAAAAAATATAGAAAAAAAGAAATTAGTCTAACGAGCAAATTCAATTATGATAGGATAAGTTTCTTTTTAAAAATAATAACTGACATTTATTATAGATGTATCAAGTGGTTAGTATTGCACGCACACGTAACCCTCTTATAACACGGTACATCCTTAGCACGTTTGGAAATTGAGCTAAACCTAATCTAATTTAAAATTAGTGAATACATTGTACAATAGCTCAATAATCATGGTGAAACTAGTGCATAAAAAAATACCTCATTTTACATTTTTCATTCTAGTGTCTACCTAGGTTAAGTCATATATGAGCGCCAAATTTAAAAGGATTATATAAACATCTTTTCAAAAAAATCAAAAAACAATAATAAATTTTAGAATTTTTGCATAAGTGAAACTAATACGAATCTGAAGATACCTAATACAAAATATATTCAGAGATGAGGATATCTTGCCAAAAAGAAAATTCTCACGTTATCTCGTGTTATATATATTTATCTTTATCAAAAATATAATATATATAGCATGTTTTTTAAAATTTTTAGAACCTAGCTCCTATTTTCAAACTAGTCCTTTGTTTCATATAACACGAATTAGCATTACACGGTACGTTTTTGGAACTATAGTGATGTACGGGGGTTACCAGCATTCCGATTGTAGCCAACAAAAGTGTTATCATTAAGTCATTAAAATTATACTCAAATATTTAAACTACTTCATGGCCAACTAGTATCGTCATTTCTATAGTAATTACAGATACAGATAACAAAAAACTGGCGTGTTATGCGAATCCGTGTTATACGGGACAAAGAATTAGTACAAAAAGAGGGGTTACGTTCCAAGAATTCAAAAAACATGGTAAATATTATGATTTTTTTAACTAAGGGGGCGTCCATTAATCACATGAGGTTTTTAGGGGGAGGAAAGAAAAAATGAAAAAATCACGAAATATCACGTGGGGGAGGGAGGAGTATAGTAAGATATCACGTGTATTTATTTTTTAACTAATTTTTTTTTTTAAATTTCAAACATTTTCCAAAAAAATTCAAAAAAATTACATTTTTTTCACGTAACTAAAAATACACGTGACATTTGGTGGGGTAGAGGAGGTAATTTTGAATATCACCATGTATCACCAATAGCCCCCCTCCCTATATCGTCCAAAAATCTTTAAAGACTCGCTCAGGTGATTAGTGGGCGCCCCTTAAGTACTGTTATATTTATTAATTTTTTATTAATTTAGTGAGTGCTATCCAGCACGATCATTTTTTTGCAAGATATCCTCCAGATCTGTGCAATATTTTTTGCAAAAAAAATATATTTGCAATTTCTTGCATTTAGTTCAAATATATTTAAATATTTACCACATGCAAAGTTATCTTCATTAAAATTTTATGCTCATTTTATTTAAAGAATCTTTGTTTAAGACTGTGTACTTTATGTTACGTAGTTATAGAATTTATTAAAACTCTCCTTCGGTAATTCAGGTTGTTGGGTTATAATTTAACCCTTGTAGCTGTGGACTGTATTAAAAACTGATTTGTTTGTATATTATGTATTTGTTGCAGTTCTAATTACAATCACTGATTTTTTACTAAGTTATAATGAAAGAAGATATATTTATTTTTATTGATTATTTACATGTTGTTAAGGACTTTACTTTTTGAAGTGGACAACGAGTTTCAATTAAAACACTCCACTACTCCATCTACCAGAGGTAGCAACCATTCCGTGTAAAGCTTAACGCCTTGAAGTTTGTCACCTTCATGGCTAATATAATAAAACGAAAAGACGTCCGAACAGACTGATCCACTAATTATTCGGATAAGGCCAGAATTTTTTTCGATAGAATGTATGGACTCGAATAATAAATATCAAATTAGTTAGGTTTTGCATTAGTTTCATAACATTTATTGAAATATTGTAAGGCGATTTTACTAATTATACACTAAATGAAATTTGATTTTCATAGGTTTTACTATATTTTATATTTTATTAGGGTTTTGCTCAATTCTCAAAACGTGTTCGAGCAAGCCAGTGCTTTAAAAGTACCGCCTTATGAGGGAGATGGTCTCAATTCTTAAACCGTGTTAGAGCGAATCCGTTTTATAGAAGTACCATGTTATGCGAAAGCTACCTGTATCTTAAGACTAAATTAAAGACACAGGTAACCCCCGTACAACACGGTAGATACGTTCCAGAAAACTAGCGTGTTATGCAAATCCGTTTTATAAGGGACAAAAAATTAGTACAAAAAGAGGGGTTAGGTTCCAAGAATTTAAAAAAAAACATGCTACGTATCTTGATTTTATAATAAATAGTGTTCAAGTTAAACTTGAATTATATAATTTTTATTATTAAAAGGTAAGTGCTATCCAACGTGATCCTCTGAGCAGTTTTCTATACTACCTCCAGATCCGTGCATTATTTTTTGCAAAAAAAATTATATTTGCTATCAGTTGCTTTTAGCGAAAAGATATTTATATATTAACACATGCAAACTTAACTTCATTAAACTTTTATGATCATTTTATTTAAAGAATTACTTAAGAATTATTTAATATACTTTTCAGAAAATCCTATAATTTTTTTTTTATAGAACGTACGCGCTCTAAAATCATATTAGTTATCTTTTGCATTAGTTTCATCACATTTATTGAACTATTGTACGGCGATTTTACTAATTTTAGATTAAGTAAAGTTTGCTTTTCATATGTATTACTATATTTCTTATTTTATATTTCTTACTTTCCTCAATTCTTAAACCGTATTATGCAAACCCGAAAGTACCGTGTTATGAGGGGGATAGTCTCAATTCTTAAACTTAAATGCAGGGGTTACCTGTATCTTGAGACTAAATTAAACATATCTACAATAAGCATTATATACTTACTTCTAAAGTAGTGAAAACAATTTTTTCAATAGAAGAAAAATATCGTTCCCACAGTACTTGTGTTTGTTGACGAAGAGCGAGTACTCGATCGGCGCTTACTGAGCGCACCAAGTCAGGAACTTGCAGTAAAAGCCGTTCATCCGCCCACAACACAGCCTGGGACCAGTCAATCACCTACAACAGATAAAAATCAAATAAAAAATCCGTTACGAATGAAATGACTTATGAGAAATGAAATGATCATGTCAACCTATAATATTTCGAACAACGGAATTTCAATGCCAAACGCTGCAACAATTATTTCAATAATATTATAAGTGTTCAGCACGTGATACTAAAAGCTTCTGCACGCAAGCTATAATTATTGCAGTGCATCATACGCTGTTTAAACACATAAGTGAATTTAAACATGAAACCAACATGATTCTTTTATCATTTTTTTTGCATTTAACCTCATAATAGCTTCCAGAACTTTTGCACGAAAAGGATGTTATCGTTAATTAAGTCGTTTATTATTAAACGCTATCTTGAGTTAGTAATGCAACTTCCAGAAGAAAGATCACGATTTTAATTTATACATCACAAACCTTACTCAGCTGATTATAAGGAAAAGGAACAATTAAAACAAATGTTTTCGCTTCTGCTCTATTAAATTGGAAAATAAATTATTCATTTACTAGTAGGATACTACCTCCCAGTAGGGCAAGATATAGTAATCGCAAAAAAATCTAAAATGAAAATTTTTATATATCTTTACGTTTCAAAACGTTCTGAACATTTTGGCAACATCCGTTAGACGGCGACGCTGCGCTTACGCGCTTCGATATTTTGTCTCTATGCAGTTAAAGCAGTACGATTGCTTTGAAAAAAAAGTTCAGAATTTCCAAAATATTTCAAAATAAATTTTTCTTTAAAAAGTCTTTTTTTTTTCAAAAAAAAGTAAGTTTTTGTCAAAAGTTTATAGTTTCTCAAAAATCTAATATTTCCAAAGTAATTTTTTTTCAAAAATGTTAATCTTTTTTAAAAAAATAATTTTGGTACGAGGAGTTCCGGCAATTTGCCTTAAGGCACGATGCCATGCGGCCCAATAGTCTTCTGTTCTATCAAGTTACACAATAAATTATAAAGCAGTAAACAATTAAGAACGTATATCCATTTACTATTTTATTTATGAAAAGTTTATAAAAGATATGATTGTAACTAGCATTGACAGAAAAAATATATGATCAATAATTAATTTATTATTAAACACTATTCCTGAGTTAGTGTTGTAACTTTCAAAAACAAAAGCCCATTTGAAAGAAATTAATTTTTACCATAATTTTAATTTAAATATCCTAACCAACTAGCATGTCGTTTATACCAGAAAGGCCAACCGACCAGGCTTAAAAGAAAAATACCTGGAGTCCTAATATAGTTTAATTAATTATAATACTTTCATTTTACTATATTTTAGTGTTTTTTACTTTTGTTTATAGATTTTTTTATTATACTAGCTTTAGTAGATACGCTACTGGGGGTATCTACTAATTTGTAAACAACTAATTGTAAACAACTTGTTAGCCATTTGTTAGCATTCTCTGCTCAATGTAATTATATATATATATAGATTGCAAAATAAAATTAAAATTAATACATATATATATATATATATATATATATATATATATATATCACAAACTTTCTTCATTTGCTTATAGGAAAATATACTATTAAAACAAATAGACTATTTTTAGAAATCAAATTAAGAAATCAATTATTCTGAAGCGAAAATATTGAAAAACCATATTCATATTCTAATTTATTAAAAGCTTATGTAAATTATAACCTGCTGTTGAAACGGCAAAGCCCATGCATTTGACAATAATACAGGAACACAGCCAGCTTGTAATGCCTCTAAAAATCTATATGAACCCAGACGTCTTCCTCGTGGTACCAGACAAAAAGTTGAATTGGCCAAAAGAACATCATAGTCGTATCTGAAACAAATAAAATACCATTTATAACTTCTGAAACAGATGCGAAAAATATCGATTTAGTATCATTTAGAGAAACACTAGATTAAATTGTTAAATAATAATAAATATTGTTTGACTATTATAACAGTATACACAAAAATTATAATTTCCCAAATTACATTCATATCTGACTATTATTTTGACATTGCTGTAACTTGGAGCGGAAATTTTCAATGACACCTGACCTTTTCGTAAATGATTTTGCAATCGAAAACTTTACTTTTAAAGTATCTCCAAAGATAAAATTCATTACAATACAAGGCGACGTTATTGTTTGAACAAAAATTTTGCGAACTGCGTTCAATGAGTCGTCAACGATGTGATATGTTTTAGAAACTTTTTTAGCATGGCGATACATTGCTCATTATTGACGGAGAGAAATCCCTCCTTGATCTTAATAAGAATATGGACCATTGTCAGTAAATTATTGGTGCATTTCAAGAACTTCGCTTTATTTCGTTAGCCTGAGAGCGAGTTTAATTTTTATATATTTAAATTTAAATGTAAATCTTTGTGGAGAATGCGGTTTAAAGATGTTCTGGGCACATTCAAGATGCTAGACTGCCTCGAGTAGGGAGGCTCAAGTTATTCACGAATAGACGCGCTTACACTTCAACGTTTACGCGTTTCCTTCTAGGTTGACCGCAACGTGGTTGTTTCATTGTTAAACCTGTCCACTTTTAGATCCATTCCCTTATCAACTAATAAAATGGATATAAAAAAATATTACTATAGAATCGTTATTTCGATTATACTCACGAAGGCATAATCTGTTTATAGGATTCATTCAACCATAAACCTTATACTACATGGACTGCTAGTGGAAGACAAAATACTGATACGCACTTGCTGAGCGAACATTGCCGACAATCGCGGACTCTTCCGATTGATTAAATGTCATATGTCATATGTTACGTGCCTAACACAGACCTTATAATAATATAAAACTATGGGTATACTCCGAAATAAATTCGTAATATCCGTAAAGTAAATAGATATAGTCAAATTATTATTTGAACTCCACTATTCATTATCAATTCGATTTATCTCCTGAAATTGACGTTGTCGTTTCGTTTCATAATTAATTGAACTTGTTCGTTAGAAGTGCGTAACATAATTATATTAAAACGACTGCCTGGAGACAATCTGGTTTAACTTTTTAACCATCGCTACCTGAATGGTTGGCTAAGCTTTGAAATCTGATCTAAGTAGTCATGGTATTGAATGATAGACATTCGCTCAAATAAATAATGTGTGTACGTAAATGATAACAAAACTAGTTGGTATTGGTATTTACCCTTGAGGCAAGTTACATGAACTTCCCGGGACATGTGAAAATAATCGACTTAATCAATGTAAAATAAATTAATTTATGAGTGATTAAAAGCATTCCGAGTGGATTTATTTCAAATCATTGAAAACGAACGAACATCTTAACTCGAAGTATTTTCTAAAAGCAAATTTTCAGAAATAAACCATTTTTATAATTGAACTAGTTTCCGTAGAACTTTAATGGTTTAGTATGCTCATTAAGACCAAGTACTCTATCGTTAACCAAGTAAATCGTCTAATATTAATTTTAACAAACATGAAAATAAACAATTCATTTTCTCGAACTTTGATGAATTTTTAAAATTACACTACTTGTCGTGAGGCCGTTATATTTCAGTAAGTTCTATAAGACCATGATATATATCGCCAAAAAAAGTTCCATAAAAATCGGCTTAATTTCTTTTTTCAACAGTTAATTACAAGAAAACGGCTCGGTAGGTTTTCACCTGAAACTAATTAGTATCATTCCCAACGAATATCTTTCGAACAGTATTTGATTTTTTGAAACCGATTCGGTAGTATGAGCTTAAATGTGGATGAAAATTTTAACACTTTTTAACATTTTTTTATGAAAACATAAATTTCTCTTTCAGGAAGTTAATAAATATTAGTTCAATAAAAAAAGTACTAGTCAAATCTATACATTTATATTATTTGTCATTTAAGAGTATTTAATTGATTACATATTGAGACATAAGACCAAATGATTTTAGATTTGACTCAAGATTAAAATAAATAAAGTTTGAGTGAGTAATAATAGGAACATGATACATGGCGATTATTTAAATATAATCAATTCAAACATTGGTACAGTTTCCTTTATGGCAAGATTAGTACAAGACTTCACGATAAACATCAAAACTAGAATATCAAACTTGAATTGCATTCCTGACTCATATAAAGATAGACGAAGATGAAGATGATGATCTATTTCAACACAAAGGAAGATTGATGTGACAAATATATTTTTTATTGTCATTAATATAAAAAACATTGATTGTATAAACAAAATCACAAATATATTCATTATTTTATATAATTATCTTGACTCATATGATGATAAATTAAGAAGTATAATATATTCTGAGAAAATTGCAGTTGATTCATAATACAATACTATAAATAAATTTAAAAGTTAACAATCTTTTGATAAGCAAATATCACTTCAAATTCAAATATCAATGTATATATATATATATATATATATATTAAATTAATAAAGTTCAATATAAAAATTATAATTTTTTATCGATAATTATCGACTCGTATAAATATCAAAGTACAATTGCACTATTTAATTTAATATTATATATATATATATATATATATATACAATTGATATTTGAATTTGAAGTGATATTTGCTTATCAAAAGATGTTAACTTTAAATTTATTTATAGTATTGTATTATGAATCAACTGCAATTTTCTCAGAATATATTATACTTCTTAATTTATCATCATATGAGTCAAGATAATTATTAAAATAATGAATATATTTGTGAGTTGTTATTACAATCCAATGTTTTTTATATTAATGACAATAAAAAATATATTTGTCACATCAATCTTCCTTTGTGTTGAAATAGATCATCATCTTCATCTTCGTCTATGTTTATATGAATCGATAAAAAATTATAATTTTTATATTGAACTTTATTGAAATTGTTGCGATACTTAAATTCATAATCGTTTTAATTGCTATTATAAATCAAATTATATCGACAAATATATTGGACATATATGCATTTCCAAACAATATATTTAAATTTAATCATTTACGTCATAATAATCTACCAAATCGGTAGTAGTAATCTAATAATTCGCGTTAAAAATTCAATTGCGGATGCTTTCATGATTATTTCTTTTCCTTTTTTGCGTAACCTTTGAGATTTGAACCCGATAATGTAATTGGAA